AGAAAAAGAGGTAGAGAAAAAAAGACTCACAAATAAATACAATAAGGCCTTACATTTGGCATAGCACCATTCATGTCACATAATTTACTGTTAAGTGCAGTGACTGTGCGCTGTGTGGGCGAACGCGGATTTAGCCCAGGGGACGCCAGTTGGACCACTCTGGCTTAAACTATATGAGTTCCAGATCCTGCAGTGCGGCTCAAATGCACAACTGTCTGACTCAGAGGCGACCTAAGCCAGATTTGTATTGAAGTAACAGGAAAGGGAGAAGTATTGCACATCATTTCAAAGCATTGGCACCAGGAGCAGTGAGAATAATGGAGAGCAAGGCATTTGGCAGTCGAATGCTGTAGATTTCAGCTGTGGAAGAGTTCACTTGCACACAAAGCCACAATGTGTCAGGGGTCTTGCACCTGCAGACCATTTTATCACGTGGGTGTATCAGAACATATAACCATCCAAAAATCCTGCAATATATTCACCCACAAAATATACAGTCGCACCACATGACATTATATGGTGCGGTGTGCGGAGCCAACGTGGGTTCTGTGGCTTCTGTTGGCCCAGGCGCCAATGCGGCCATTTCAGAATCAACAAATGGACCACTGACTTTGTTAGCACTTACTGTCTCTATATAAAAATTCAAAAGAAATTCAGAAAGTCCTGTGGAGTCCTGTAGCTCAGTGGTTAGAGCTCTCGCTTTGCAAGCGAGAGATCTGAGTTCAATTCCAGGCAGGGCGAAACCTTGGGCAAGTTTCCTTACTCCACACGCCTAATAATAATCCCTCCAAAAAAAACAATAATAAATTGGTCATTTTCAATCTACGACTGTTTGTGGGACATTGCTGTGCGCAATTGGCTGCCGCGTTCGCCCACAAATATACAGTCAATTCACTTTACAGTCTATTCTGTGAAGCGCTTTGGGACGTCCTCCCGACGTGAAAAGCGCTATATCAAATGCAAGGATTATTATTATTATTATTATTATTATAACAAATCTCCAGTCGGCTGCCGCCTTCAAAACTCTGAGCCTGGACTCACGATGACTGTCACACCCTCCTTCCCCAACAGGCTGACCATGCTATGCTGACCCCTCCCCCGCTTGTCCCCGTCCCCTCTTAGTCTCGGCGTGCGCATTTTGGCTGCTGCCCCTGATCCGAGCTGCTTCTCCAAAGAATACTCTCACCACTGTCCCCTAGCATCTACTACTCCTGCTCAAACCCTCTCTCTCACTGCCCTCCCCACCTCCTATCCCTGCTCGATCCTCCCTCACTCTCCCTCTGCTCCAGCTTGTAAATCCTCTGTTGTGCACCGCCCAATCCTCCATCACCAGCTGTCTCCTCTGTATCGGCCTACAAAATGTCCGTTCCCTCTCCATCAAAACGCTCACCATCCAAGATCTCATTGTTGACGAAATCATCAACATCCTCGCCTTCACCGAAACCTGGGTCACCCCAGGTGACACTTACAGAGGCCACACCACCTGGCTACATTTTCCACCATGACCCACAACCTAACCGCTGCGGTGGTGGTGTGGCTCTCATCTTCTGGTCCCCTCTCGGCCTATCCCCTTACTCCTCCAGAATCTTCCCCTCCTTTGAGCACCTTACCCTCTACAATCCTCCTTGTCTATCATTCCCCCAAACCCTCCCCACCTTCATCTCGGACATCTCCACCCTCATATCGTCCCTATCCCTCTGCTCCAAACGACTTCTCAATCTAGGCGACTTCAACCTGCACTTCACCACTTCGGCTGTATTTCCACTGACATCTCCTCTCCTCTCACAACCTCTCTCTCCACATCCATTCCGTCACCCATGTCCATGGCCACCCACTTGACATGGTGATTTCCCGGGTCTCAGTGTCTCAGACCTCACCATCATTGACAAAGCCATCTTGGACCATTACTTCATCTCTCTTAAATCCTCACTGCCACCCAACCCACCTTCATCTTTTACCGCTCCTGGAAAAAAATCTTACCCCCTCCCTCTCCGCTGCCTTGGAGTCATCTGAACACCTCCCACTCTGGGCTTCCTCTCGCAATGATCTATCCTCCTCGGTCACTCTCCTCCACAACTCTCTCTCCACCACTCTCAAAGCCCTTGCCCCCTCACTTCCCGAACTGTCTCCTACTCTTGGAAATCACCCTGGTACACCAGCTATCTCTGCTCTCTTACGGCTCAGGTGTGTGTCGCTGAACGTACCCGGCACAAATCCAACTTAACAGTCCATCGGCAAATCTGGTGGGATTTTATCAAATCTTACCGCTCCATCCTCGCCTCCATGACAACCTTGGAGGCCAAGGACAACACCAGCCTCCTCTTCTCCATCACTAACAGTGTCCTCCTCCTACCCTCTCATGCCTCACTCATCCTCTCCTCCAATGCCAACTGCGAGGAGATGCTGGACTTTCTTGAATCCAAAGTTGAGGGGATCTGCTCAGCTGCCTCGGCCCTTCCGACCACTGCCCTCTACCTATCTCGCCTTCACACACCCCGGCCCCTGCCGATCTCTCACTTCACTCATTCTAAACTGTTTCCCCCTCCTCTTTCATCACCACCATAACCCACATGAAACCAACCATCTGCTCCCTTGACCCCATCCCTACTCCTTTCCTTACCTCCCAGCTCCCTTGCCCCCCCCCCCCCCCCCCCCTCACAGACATCAAAAAACTTCTCCCTGTCCTCTGGCACTATTCCCACCCCACTAAAAATGGCCACCATCAATCCTATCCTTAAAAAACCTCCTCGGACCATCCCTGCTCTCAAAACTATTGCCCCATCTAGAACCTCCCTTTCCTTTCCAAGGTCCTGGAATAAGTCATTGCTTCCCAGCTTTGCTTCTTCCTCTCCCGCCACTCCCTTCATGAACCCCTCCAATCAGTTTTACATGCCTCCCACAGCACAGAAACAGCTCTAGTCAAAGTTACAAATGACATTTTGTTCATCTGGAACCAGGGCTCCCTCTGCTTCCTCGCCCTCCTTGATCTCTCTGCTGCCTTCGACACCATTGACCAGTCTATCCTCCTCCACCACCTCTTCTCTCACCTCAACCTTAATAATAATAATAATAATCCTTGCATTTGATATAGCGCTTTTCACGTCGGGAGGACGTCCCAAAGCGCTTCACAGAACACACTGCAAAGTGAATTGACTGTATATTTGTGGGCGAAAACGGCAGCCAATTGCGCACAGCAATGTCCCACAAACAGTCGTAGATTGAAAATGACCAATTTATTATTGTTTTTGGTTTTGGAGGGATTATTATTAGGCTCTATGTGGAGTAAGGAAACTTGCCCAAGGTTTCGCCCTGCCTGGAATTGAACTCAGGTCTCTCACTTGCAAAGCGAGTGCTCTAACCACTGAGCTACAGGACTCCACATGGTTCATGGTTCAAGAAAACCTTCATGGTTTTGACCGTCAATGGTTCAGATTGTACCTCTCACACCGTCTCTGCTTCATCTCCACAAATGGTTTCTCCTCTAACCCCCATACTATCTCTTATGGAGTTCCTCAAGGCTCTCCTTTTCAATATCTATATGCTCCCTCTTGGTGACATCATCCCCAGGCATGGGGTCAATTTCCACATGTTTGCGGATGACACCCAACTCTATCTCATTGGCACCACCCTTGACTCCAGGACCACTTCTATCCTGACATAATGTCGGTCAGACATCTAGTCCTGGATGAGAGCTAACTTTCTGCAGTTGAACATCAACAAGACTGAGGCCTTCCTGATTGGCTCCTGTCAGTGTCTCCACACCTCAGGCACTGACAGCATCACCATCCAAGGATGCACACTCTACCTGATTAAGCCAGTCTGGAACCTTGGTGTCTTATTTGACCCTCAACTCTGCTTTCTACCCCACATCCTTGCCACGACCCAACTCCGTAACATCACGTGGCTCCACCACTGCCTCACACCGCAGGCCGCTGAGACACTCATGCATACATTCATAACATCCAGGCTTGACTACACAACCTCCCTGCTTGTCGGCCTCCCCCACTCCTCCCTCCATAGGCTGCAGATCATCCAGAACTCTGCAGCCCATATCCTCTCTCGCACCAGACTACGCAACCCTATCACCCCCATCCTCGCCCAACTCCACTGGCTCTCTGCCTCGTCCCCTTCCTTGCCTTCTTCAAAATCTGCCTCAAGACCTTCCTCTTCGACCATGTCTTCGGTCACCCTCCATCCCCCCCCTGCCCTCCATCCTCCCCTATCCCAACCCCCAAAACACTGATAGTCCAGCACCTTGGGATGTCTTCCCGAAGTGAACGGCACTATATAAATGTAATTTTGTTGTTGTTGTATATTCTGTGAGGTGCTTTGAGATGTCGTCCCAACATAAAAGACTTTATATCAAATGTAAGGATTCTTAATATGATATTGAAACTGGAAGCAGACAAAAGTCTCTGGGTTTGTAACCATGATTCATTGTATCCTCTGGTCTGATTCTCCTTTTTCCTTATATGCTCATCCAGTGTTTTGTTATATTACCTGGTATTAGTTCAGGAAAAAAGGAGGTTTCATCTCTATCCATGCATAAAAAGCAACCAAGTGAAAGACATTGTGTGGTTATTGCAATAACTCAAGTGAATAACGTGCTGTTTGCTTTCATTCTGTCACCTTGGACTGTTTTCACAGTGAAGGTTCATGTTGTCTAATACTGTGTATTCATGTTTCCATCCCAAAACCTGGAGGATTTTCATAGCTACTTGCATTGCAACATTTATACTTGTGGCTCACTTGTCAAGCTCCTAGTGTAAAAATGATTGTTCAGAAACATCCTGCAAGTGCTTGTAATTCATCTGAAAGATGAATATTCTAAATTTTTTGCTCTATGACTTTAGCGTCTATGCAGAGCTGGGCGTTAAAAATTGAGGGTACAGAGGGAACCCGCAACAAGGTAGGTTGTGTTTGGTCTGTGCATTAAACAGGTTCTCATTCCATATTTCCTTTATTTGGACAATGCTGAGATGCCAATTTGTTTGTCGCAGATGCAGACTCATGCCTGGATATGAAAAGGAAAAGCATTGAAGTGCAGCAAGCAGATCATCTCAGTGACACATCTGTGGAGTGAAGTAGCTGATAGAAACCATAGTGCTTGATCTGGGTCCTGACGAATACAGATACTTACAGCGAACTGAACCAGCAAGCAGTGCGAGCGAGTGCCTGGCACCTGAGCGCAATGTTGGGAAACGTGTTTACTCAATCTGAATGTGACTTGTAAGCAATATACTATATGTAGAACAAACACAGTTAACCGTGTGCACTCAGAATATTTAGCCGTTACCTGCTCCTTACTGTTCCATGAGAATGCACAAAGTTGCCCTTCTGTGTCTTCTTGGGCACATAATTTATTAAACCAAGCTGGGAGTGTTCTTGAGCATGGAAACATATATTTGAAGGGGGAGGGGGGCAGGAGAAAGGGGGCATAAACAATTGTTTAAACCACAATTCTGTTTGGTTGATGCCATGCAAGCACTGTAACCTTGCATCCACTCCTAAACACCTTAATAATAAAAACAATGAAACTTTCACCTAAACACCTTAATAATAAAAACAATTAAGTCTTCACTCCCTTCCTCCTTTGCTGTCACCATTGCTTCGTTTCCTGAATGTAAAACAATAATTGTTTGTTTCCAGTCTGTCAGATCTTCTCCAGAGTTCACTGACTGCCTCAAATTGGCCACCAGTGAGTCATAAGTCTCTTCCCATGTCTATCTTGGTACTCTGAGGTATTGTTCATCTGTTTTACTTGATATATTGCTTTCAGCCCCTGGAGCCCATCTGGAACCTTAATTTTGCAAACGTCCCAGAGCTCGCACGATGTTAATAAAACTGGATGTTTATAGGTGAAATGCAATCTTGGGAGTGGATTGGTGAGGCTCAGATGATCAACATACAACAAAAGAGAGCCATCCAATGCCCTGTGTCATTATGTCTAGAAAACATTGTGCAGAGATCCTGACAGAAAGACCAGAATTAACTTTGTGCAGTCTCTCAAATGGGAACAATTGGATAAATGGTTTGACAGCTCGTCGTATCTGTCGTGCAGTCTATGTGACGTAGTTGAGCTTTCTGCAGTACATACCAGATTTACAACACCCTGTGATGTGGGCAACACTGTGTAGTTTTCATAAAGTATTTTGGTCATATCGACCATGAATGTACAAATACGCAGTAACAGTACAGTGTTAGGCGTAAGAACTGAGTTCTATTAGATAATGCTGGTCTAACATGTCACAGTGTATTGTATCGTATATAACGTATACCAGCAACATCATATGTCACAATATGGAACCTGTCAGTGCCAGAAGAAGAAATGTCTTGAGGTTATTTATTTCAGGTTTTTATTGAACATTTACACAAATCAAACATAGCTATTTAGTGAGCAAAATGACAGTCCTGTTAATACTCAATGTGTTTAACCAGAATCTATACTTAACAAGTGGAATTGACTGTTGGTTTGTTCCATCCTCATTGCCCGGAAACATACACAAGTTTACAATTCAAGATGTCATCTAGTGAGGGACCCAACAGTGAGGGGGTCTCTAATGAGGGCGCCTGATGCTGGTTTCAGCAAATATATCCACAGCAACTCAAGTGCCACCATTTTGAGAGTATATTTTTGTTTGGAGCAAGAACACCTATGCTTGATCCTCCTTTCTCCTGCGATGCCCATTGTACACAGTATTTTATCCCTCAGCCCCCTCCCCCACCCCCCCGGCCCAGCATAAATACCCTTTTCCTGCTGTAACACAACCACTTGCTGGAAATTATCTTAGCCATTCTACTGCAAATTGCAGAGTGTAGCAGATTTCCTCTTCAGCACTGAATGCAGGAGATAGCAATTAAAGTGAAACTTGATAAACATTTGCAAATGTATTTTTCAAATCACAGTTATCTGTCATTAAAGTGTTTGAAGATCATTTGTGTGGTGCAATGTGTCCTGAGCCTGATACAGTGACATGATTGTCGTCATTCAGATTGTGTGCAGCACAGAGGACCCCAATCCTCCAAGTCGGAGGCAACAAGTGAACTGCTGCTGAAACCACAGGGACATCTTTTGCCTCTAACATGAACCCAACCAGAACGGAGGCAGCAAAGGGAATCGGTAGAGCGTATACCAAAGAGGGGGGGCGGTCCAGGCAAGCGTGAACCTGAAAAGGGTTGCGAGAGGTAAACCAGTCGAGTGTGAATGGGGAAGGTGGGGTGGGGGCAGGAGAGTGTGAATGAGGAGACCAGGAGAGTGTACTAAAGAATGTGTCCAGTGTACAGAGTGGGCAAGCTCAGTGTGCAGAGTGAGCGTGTTCAGTGTGGGGAGTGAGCGTGTTCGGTGTGGGGAGTGAGCGTGTTCAGTGTGGGGAGTGAGCGTGTTCGGTGTGGAGAGTGAGTGTGTTCGGTGTGGGGAGTGAGCGTGTTCGGTGTGGGGAGTGAGCGTGTTCGGTGTGGGGAGTGAGCGTGTTCGGTGTGGGGAGTGAGCGTGTTCGGTGTGGGGGGTGAGCGTGTTCGGTGTGGGGAGTGAGCGTGTTCAGTGTGGGGAGTGAGCGTGTTCGGTGTGGGGAGTGAGCGTGTTCAGTGTGGGGAGTGAGCGTGTTCGGTGTGCGGAGGGAGCGTGTTCGGTGTGGAGAGGGAGTGTGTTCGGTGTGGAGTGAGCGTGTTCGGTGTGGGGAGTGAGCGTGTTCGGTGTGGGGAGTGAGCGTGTTCGGTGTGGGGAGTGATTGTGTAATGCTCCTTATTTTTGATGTGGGCGAATATTATACAGAATCTCCTGAACATTCTGAAAGATTTTATTGTCACATGTGGTTTGGCCTCAGTCTGTCTGACTTTCATTTTAGTTTTACTTTTTTAGCCTTTGTTGTTACTTTGCAATCTAAGGTACAGAATCATCAAAGGTGTCTTTTTAATAATACTTTTATCTGTCGTTGTCCTTGTGAATACAATGACCCACAGATTTCCTCTTTGAGAAGTCTCACAGATACTCAACGCCAGGTGATTTTATTTCTTTAAGGTTTGATTCCACTCCTATAAATCAGCTTGTACTTCAGTAAGAATTAATTTGCTTTGAAAGTTCTGCTGCACAAAATGACAGCATTGTAAGGTCATGGGTCACAAACAAATTGCTTTTCTGTGCCACGTTATTGCTTGATATCCATTAATTTATCTCGGTATCAATATCTCACACTTAGCCTGGTAGCTCAATGCATAAAACCACTGTCTCATGCCTTTTGGGCCCTGAACCAGGTTTGATTTCCAGTTGTGTCGGTCTAGCTGAACTCAGACAACCTGCAGATGGAGAGAATTGGTCTCAATTCTTCTGAGCCAGCAAGTTAAATAATCAGCCAAGCTTACAACAGCTTCCACTTTGTGTGTAAAAGAAATGTCTCACAGCATTGTATCAAGCAAAGTTCATTTGAAATGTAGTGAATGTTTTTGAAGCACCATTACTGACCCCTATTGAAAAGTGTGTGCATTTGTGTGAGGCAGGATTGAACTCACCTGTGATATCCATTTTTAGTTGGGATCTAAAAATAAGTAATTTACAGGAATATGATGAAAAAGTAGGTAAACTGGCCTGAATGGATCACCCTTTCAAAGAGCTGAGCTGAGATAGCACAAACACTAAGGGCTGAATTGTCTTCTGTGAAGTCCAATGGTTTTATCACATATGAAATGGTCTTGTGGAAGAAGTACCAAGAAGTGACCTGTGCTGTTGCAACCATATCCTAGCGTGAATTTTCTGTTCACTCGTGAAGTCTCAGGAATATTTCAATCCTCTCCTCAGAACACATTGCCTCCTTTCTTACAGTCATTTAAATGATTTGCTTTTGTTAATTTCTTTTATTGCCTGCTCCCTATTTATGCATCAAGATCTGGGTTTCGATACCAATTTGTTTTCCAGGTGACTTGTTAGCACCCTCTACTGTTTATAACTTAAAACTGTTACAGTATTACTCAAATTATCTTTGATTATTGCTTTAAAACTGAGTGCAATGACTTGTTCTTACTTTTTCAGTCCCCAACCACAATATTCATTCTAGAAATATTAAAATCACTCCTATTCCCAAAGCCTTCAACATTTACATCAACTCAGACTCCTTGCAAAATAAATATTAGATCAAACATATCTTTTTACATGGTAGCATGTTTAACCATCTGTGTCATTAGAGTGTGCCTGCACTCTCATCTAAATCATAGCTTCTCTATGGTATTGAATTCAGATCAAACATATACTTTGCTCTGTACCAGTTTTTATAAGACATGCCCAGGTTCAATCTGACATTCATGTGTTGAGTTTACCCCAGTTTTCAAAGATTCTACACAATCATTTGAGATACATTCAGAGCCATGAAATGTGCTTACAATTTGTGTTCTTGCTTTCAAAACATTTGTCAGCTGCTTGAATAATTCACTGTGGATTTCTTATTTATGCTCCAATGGTGCAGAGCAAGTCCTAACTTCCTTTCATTTGCCATCTTAATAAACAAGTCACAAACCTTTTGGGATCAGAGATTCTTTCCATGGCAGCTGACAGACTTTTGTGCTCTGTTGTTTTTCTCCCTTGGCCCAGTACCATGCCACAACCATAAAATGCAATGGAGCAGTATTCCTGACCTGAGCCTGGGTAGGAGACTCAGATCAGGAGTCTCCAATATGAACCTAGCACAACTCTGTAATCAGCTGGCGACAGAAAGGGGAAGGGATTGAATCTCTCTCCTATGACAGACAGTGCAGACACATTGGGCAGAATTACTCATTATTACTCATTTCTGTATTGTCCTATTCTATGAATCAACGCACAGCACTCCCATGAGTCCACGTCTCAATTCAATTTGAAATCATCCACTGTGATCTGCTTTATTTTCTCCTCTTGCTTGAAGAAACTAAGTTATATCTGCTCTGACCCATTGCTTTTGCGCAAAAGAGTAGCTGCCTTTGTGTGCTGCCTTTGGAACACATATAACCTATAATTTTGTGTTGGCCAGCTGGGGGTCACAAAACACACACTTGAGAAACTAAATGATACAACAACAAGATTCCATTTATAGAGCGCCTTTCACGTCCCAAGGCGCTGTACAGTTGAGTCAGGACCCGAGCAGGGGAGAAATGGTCAGGGTGAGGGAAGGGAGGGAGCGAGGAGGGAGTAGAGAGTCAAGAGGGGAGCCGAAGGCTCGGTCAAAGAGAAAGGTCTTGAGACCGGCCTTGAAGGAGGAAAGGGAGGAAGCAAGGCGAAGGCACTGGGGGATAGAGTTCCAAAGCCTAGGGGCTGAGAGGCTGAAGGCCCGGCCACCGATGGTAGGGCGGTTGGGGCAGGGGATGTGGAGCAGACCAGAGCCAGAGGAACGGAGGGTACGGGCAGGTAGGTAGGGGGATAGTAGGTCAGAGAGGTAGGAGGAAGCAAGGCCGTGAATGGCCTTGTAGGTGAGGATGAGGATCTTGAAATCGATCCTCTGGGGGATGGGGAGCCAGTGGAGGCGAGCGAGGGTGGGAGTGATGTGGTCGCGAAGCCTGGTGCGGGACAGTACACGAGCTGCAGAGTTCTGAATGACATGCAGCTTGTGGAGGGAGGTGCCGGGATACTACTAAGGGTTCCACTTCTGCATGGAAATTTTAATTTGTCTGGAATCCCAGAGTGGTCCAACCTCTGCTCACCTAATCCCAGAAAATACGACACACAGGTTAGCAAGAGACTTGCCTTGGGGACCCCAAAGGGTGCAATAGAGGTACTGCTGGAATTTAACTAGCTGAAACCGTGCAGCTTGCCATTTCATCCCCACAGCATAAATAATGTGTCAGATTACCCTCAGAGGAAATGACTGATGAACTGCCTCATATTGTCTCCAGTAACATTCTGGATAAAGCTTGTATCACATTGATTTAGAGCCAATGAATCATTCTCATTTGCCAGTGAACAAAATCATTAGCATTCATTTTCTGAAGACATTTATAAACATGTGACATGGTACTGTGTGCGCACAGCTTTCATATATTGTACCATTGTAACACAGCAGAATGGGACACTTATGCAATGTAGGCTCTATCCCGAGAAAGATTTGGGCTTTATTAACAACAAGATCTGCCCACCGGGATCTCAGAGGAGATTTTCATTCAATCACCTGCCTGCTACGACTGGAACAATACCTCTGCAAAGTGTTTGGTGTTCCCTTTTCTTGGAGGTAGTTTAAACAAACTGGTTGTGGGGATTCAGTGAACTTTAGCTTGTCTGGTGTGATGAAAAGCAGCCTTTTTCTCAGCTTGTTCTGGTGTTGATCAAAGAGCTGCTCAGTCATACTCAAAGATGACTTTGATCCTTTCGTCTTGTATCTGGTATCTCCACAAAAAAGATTCAGATTTTGGAAACATTCTCTTTCTCCTCTTCCCCCACCCCCACCCATCTCTGTTATGATCTGGGGCGGCTCCCAAGTTTCCTGCAAATTCCAACTCATCAGACTCTGACACATAATTCTGGTTTTAATTAATTGCTCACCTTTGTCAAAACTGTCTGAGACAGCATTAAACAAGACAAACAGGATGCTGGATTATATTGACTCTGGTCAGGCAGCACCTAAGGTACTGCTTACATTGATGATCACAGTGATATAAGGAGGCTGCCCAGGCCTTTGAGACAGTGTAGAGGAGAGCAACGAGGATAATCCGAAATTAGAGGAATGAGCTATGAACAACGATTAAGACAAGATGGGGCTCTTCAGTCTTGAAAGAAGATGTCTCAGAGGGGATCTTATGGATGTATTTAAAATTAAATGGGATTGAAAAAGTAAGCCTGAAACAATACTTTGAATGCACCAAGACAGCAGAATAAGAGGACATACGTTTAGAATTGTAAAGGGCAATTTCAGAACAGATACCAGGATGTATTTCTTTACCTAAGAACAACAAAATTACATTCGTAAAGCACGGTTCACGTCGGGAGGACATCCCAAGGCACTGGACCCGAACTGGGGGTCAGGATTGGGGAGGGTGGAAGGCAGTGGGGGAAGGAGGGTGATCAAAAGCACAGTTGAAGAGGAGGACCTTGAGGCAGGTCTTGGAGGGGATGAGATGGAGGGACTGCTGGATAGAGTTCCCGAGGGCAGGGGCGGAGAGGCTGAAGGCCCGCCGACCAATGGTGGGGCGGGCGAGATGGGGGACGTGAAGCAGGGAGCGGGCAGGTTGGTAGGGGGTTAGGAGGTCACAGAGGTAGGAAGGAGCAAGGTCATGGAGGGCTTTGAAAGTGAGGACCAGTATCTTCAATTGTATCCTCTGTGTGATAGGAAGCCAATGGAGTGGGCAAGGATGGGGGTGATTGGGTTATGGAGCCTGGTGCAGGAGAGGACATGGACTCAGCAGCCTGAAATGTGAGACAGTGTCGGAGCCGGGCGATATTGTGGAGGTGGGGAAGGCAGAGCGGGTCACAGCGCGGATATGGGGTAGAAAGGACAGTTGAAGGTCAAACAAGACGCCAAGGTTCCGGACTGGCTTAGTAAGGTGCAATGTGCATCCATGGATGGTGATGCTGTTAGCGCCTGAGGTGTAGAGGCACTGATGGGAGCCAATCAGAAGGGCCTTGGTCTTGTTGACGTTCAACTGTGGAAAGTTATCTCTCATCCAGGACTTGATGTCTGACAGACATTCTGTCAGGCCAGGAGTGGTCCTGGAGTTGAGGGTGCAGAGAAATAGAGTTGAGTACCATCCGCATACATGTGGAAGCTAACCCCATGTCTGCCGATGATGTCACCAAGAGGGATCATATAGATATTGAATAGGAGGATACCAAGGACAGAGGCTTGAGGAACGCCACAAGAGACGGTGCGGGGGCTGGAGGAGAAGCTTTTCATGGAGATGAAGTGAAGACTGTGTGAGAGGTAAGATCTGAACCATTCAAGGACAGAACTATGAAGGTTGAGGTGAGAGGAGAAGCGGTGGAGGTGGATAAAAGGATATTTTCAAGGATAAGAGTGATGTCGGACATTTTTAAAGGGGTGAGAACGGTGCCAATGGACAGGGAGAGGTTTATGATGTTACCAGATGTGAACAGGTTGCCAGGATTGTGCTAGATTGATTCTAAAAAAGCTTGATACTGTGATGGGAAGATGGTCGGGTGGGTATTATGGAAGAATTAGATCAAATGGGCAATCTGATTTGAAATCTGAAACAATTTCCTGATCTTGCTAACTAAATAATTTTCAAGGTATGAACTATGTATGCCACTGTCCACCAACAAGTTAAACTGAAATTGAAGCCAGTCTAGATATCATGTTTCAAGCATGCAATGAATTTTAAGTGTATCAATTTGAATTCGACTCAGAAATGAATCACCTCTGCTTTGCATTTATGAAGGACACTGTTCAATGGTGACTGAATACAATACATATTTGGTATTGACCAGGAGCCAATCAGTGAAGCATTAAAGAACTCCAACAATTCCCAAAGAATACCGTGCAACAAGAAGCAGCAAATATAAGCATTAAAGATCCTAAACTATTCACAAAGCATTTAAGTTTTCAATATGTACTCCAGGCTGTTGTTGACCATGCTTCAGTCAGAATCATAGGCCAGGTTTACACTTGGCTTGAATTACTCCAACTAATGCTCTGGGTGTTACACTGAAGTGTTCTTCTGTAACAAAAACAATTTGCTTGACAATTTTTTTGTTTTATGATAACTTTTCAGACTTGCTCATGGGCTGTGACTCATTGTTATCTGCACGCCCAACTATTGGTAGTGTGAACATCAGTGCTTGGGACCAGGGAAATTGTGATTGAGCTGCTAATGTTACCATTTGAGAAGGAGGGGATTGGGATGGTTAGGCCAGTGGTATTGAGGATAAATCCTGCAACATGGATGAGATAAATCAGCCACTGTTTAGCAACAACTCCTGTATGATTGCTATATCCAAAACTAGGCTACCGATGGTGGAATTATAATATGTTAAAATAAACTGTGGACCCAAACCATAAGGGCATTAAACAGGATTAAACAGCCTGGTTTGTGATATTGGACTGACCTCCAGAACAACAGGGTGGCAGGAAGGTCATGCAATATCCCTGTTAATGGAACCTCTTGCTTCTGTGAGTTCTCTGTGCTAGAATTGGAAATTTTTAAACACAAGTGATTTTGTGCCTTTGAGAGCACCTGGTTAACAAAAACAAACATTGAAATGAGAAGTGGTTGAACTAAAATTCCTAAGAGATTTTCTCCTCTTGTGATTACATTTGCCACACTCTAGTTATGTGTGTATTATTATTTAATTGTAAGCCCACACTAAAGGTATGCGATGTTATCGACAAGGGGAAAAAAATATTAATATTTAATATTCTCTGGTTCTCCCACTCTCCCTCCCCTCACTGTCACATACATTATTAATGTTGGCAATGAATATTTTTCAGTTGTTAAAAAGATTGCTGTGAAATTCGTCGGAGGTGTTGTTAACAGTACACTGCAGGCTAAAAAAAAACGATCTGTTGTGGCAGCAGCTCTCAGAAATGAGACTCGAGAATTTACTCAATAATCTGGCACATGAAGGAAGTAAGAAGAAATGCCTTGTTATAATGCCAGGCTCCCATGTTGTCTCGCTCATTTTTCTTAACCCCTTGTGTAACTATATTTCAATTACACCTCGAAAATGTCTCTTGCTCATCACTCTTAAACCATTCCATCCCAGATACATCAGTTGCAATGACGTGCCCTCTATTTACAGAGGCGTGGCTGTTTCCACTGCTGCCCATTTGGATTTTTCTCTGTTCTTGGAGACTTTGTGTGAGTGAAGCAGTTTGAGGCAATACAGAGATGCTGAATGCAAAGTCCTGTGAAAGCAACTGTTGACCTCACATAGTTCCTGTGTCAGGTGGAAGAGAATGACATGCAGACAGAAGGCAGACGCGTAGGTCACTTTTGGGTGGTTCTTTTAATAATCTTCTTGACAGATTGGATTTGGTGAAGCAACAGTACTGTCAGGGAAACCATAAATATCTGAAATCAGGACAAAAGGGTAGACTGTAAGAATAAAAGAAACAGAAAGTGGTGAAACTAGAATGCAGTGGCTACCCTGAGACAGGAGCCTAAGAATGACACCTCATTGAGGGGAAGGAGGTAACTCTGTTTCTGCATTTCTTTCAAGGGGTAGGGATTACGGTTCATAATTTACTAATCTTCATTATACCAGATGTTGATGGTTTGGAAGCAAGTTTCCACAGAAAAAAAAATCAAAGAAAATGCTCCTCATCGAGGATCATTTTACAAGTATCAGTTACAATAAATCATCCTTTTGCATTTTTCTACAATTAAATTGCACTGGAAGACTTTATTTAGTTTATTTTTTAAAAAAAATCATTTTAGTAATGATTGAACAGAGATTTTTGTATGTGCAAATCCTGCTCTGTGATAAAAAGGCATTGTGAAAAACTGTTGCAATAAATCTTGTTTTTCCTACATTGTTGCAAAAATAGAAATACATTTTAGTTGTTTGCCAGGTACCAAAGGAATGCTCTGTGAGCTTCATGTAACTTGTTTGAGCCTACAGTTTGAAGTTTGAGGCCTCAGTATGTTGCCTTGTTTTTTTACTTCTTCTTCATGCATTTTCTTTTGGAAATTTGTATACATTTTCCTATTTATTTTGAACTCCCGGGATTCATTTTCCTAGGAGTCTTAAGGGTTTGTCAGCAACATTTATTGGCTAGGTTTCATTTTGAAAATAGATTGCCTTGTGAAAGAAGTCCTCTTTGTTTGGTAGAGTACTATAAACTATCAGCTGAGTTCTTCTCCTGGACAGACATGAAACTCAACAGATTGGTTTTGGTCAGCCGGGTGACACCCATCACCACGCTTAAGTATTTCCTGTCGCTAGTGACTGGTCTGCCCTTCCAAGTCCTGCAATTGAACCAGCTGGCCGTACTGTCATCAGCAGTGCCCTGGAGTACTGGGGACCGGCCTGGCTCAGCAACTACACTACCGAGACCATGACAGAGGTTGGCTCAATTCTGACATTGGGTTGCCAAGCATATCACCGTGGACCAGTTCAGCTCCAAGGAGGACTCCGCACATCTCCCCCTAAGGAGGATAGTATCACTTTTATGACAAGAAAGGAAATGCATCCTCAGTAACGTGAACCATGAGGTATCTACAAACACACAAACCTCTAAAACTAGGAGCCCCAGTGCCACGCCACTAATTGTCAGCAGATTCTGATGCCCCCACTTGACAATGCTGTCCAAGCAGCCATTAATGTAGATCTGATTCTGGGCACTCCATGGTTTCAGCTCCTGTGTCTCATACCCACACATGGTGTTCAGTATCTTGAAAGGACAAGATGCAAAGGATTAGGAATAATTGTTTTATGTTGACTTTCAGTTTTATAGCATTGACTTCAATTCCTTCTATGAAAATAACTTGTAGCCGTTCGCCCACAAAACACAGTCACTTCACTTTACAGTAACACTTTGGGATGTCATCCTGACGTGAAACGGCGCTATTCCGAATGTATGGATGAATATTATAATTCCGTTTGTGTTTCTGTGTGTGTGTGTGTGTATTTGTGTATACATGAGTGTGTGTGTCTGAGTGTGAGTTTGTCTGTGATGAGTGTGTGTGTATGTGTGTGTCTATGCATATGAGTTTATATATGTGTATGACTGGATGTCTGAGTGTGAAAAGGTTTGTGCATGTGAATGTGTGTAAGCAAGAGAGGAATCACTCAGAGCTGATCTTGTCTTCTGACTTCCAGGACACAAATGGCACAAAGGCTCACAATTTTCTGCATCTCATAAAATGTCTTAAAAACATTATCCGTTCTATTCTGTTCTATTAAAATGTCACAAGATGATCAGAACATGTCAAAATCTTATATGGATTCAACAGATTATTCTAATTCAATCTTTCTTTCCCATCCTCCCGTTCAAAATAGTTTCCAGGCTCCTCCTCACCTCTCTGGTGTCCATGATGCAGCATGAAAATGGCACTGCACAGCGTTCCAGGCTTGGGTTGGTCTCTGAACAATTAAAGTACATGTTCTTTGACCAATCACTGTAATATTTTATTCCACAGCACTTGAACTGAAAGAGATATTACAGGCTACATCAGGCAAACATTCATCAGTTTACCATCTTATCTTCAATCCACCCCTTTCAATCCCCCCCCCACCACAACTCTGCGCCAAAACGGACGTGTAAAGCACTTTAAGATGACCTCCCGATGTGAAAAGTGCAATACGAATGTAAATTCTTTTTGACTTCTGTAAAAAGCCTGATGCTTTTTAAAACAGACACTGACTACATCTCCAGACCCTGATTACATCCCCACACCTTGACTACATCTCCAGTGCCTTTGTGATAATAAGGTAATCAGGAACATTCATACTCTGGACTCATGTGCATTAAAATTAGTTGAATGTACATAGGCCAGAAGGAATGCTGGGGCTCACAACAGACGGAAGCTAGGGCCCATGTACATTCAACTAATCTTAATGCATAGGAATCCAGCAATGAAGTCAAATTTGTTTGCAAAGTTAAAAGATAAAATCACTTAATTGGAGTAGCAAGCACAAAATATGGTTTGTGAGATAGTTTCCAAATAGTTTCCAAATATAACAGTGCTTTACAATTCCTGTATTTTTTATTCATCAGCTTTACTGTGAAACTTTTTTTTAAAATCTCAAGACAAGGTGCCTCATCAAACTCTTTGTATTCCTTTCTTCTCCATGAGACAGGAGACGCAATATGCGCCTGGAGCATTTGTCCCTGAACAAGTCAGCAAGCCTTAAAAATAGGTCAGACTTCTCTGCAAAATTAAAATTCACACACTTGGTGTCCCAACAGAAAAGCTAATTCCCCTCCAGTTCCATTTTGATTTTGCAGTTCTAGAGGAACACTACATATTTATGAAATCACAATGATTGTAATCATGACAATTTTGATTATGCGGCAAGAGTTCTCATTGCTGATCTCGATGGAATAATAATTGAAACAGTTTGTCTCTTGGCACAGTTATAACTTCTTGTAGAATTTAAAAGGTTATATCCACTCAATGAAGTTCAATGAGCTAAATATAGATTTTGAATTTTTGGAGAACAATTTGAAACAGGTGACAGAAAGCAGCCCCTTATAAAAAACGAAACCATTGTAGTATTGGGATGAAGGGATCATAAGACTCAGCTCCATGGAGATACCATAGAATGGCATCAGAATTTTTTTATCTGGAAAAATCCATTCATTACCTTTTTCTGAATGAAATCAATGAGATTCTGCAGATCCAGGTCATCTCTGTACCTTATTATTGCTTTATCCAGCAGCTTCTCACTCTTTCTTAGTACCTTGGTGTATGAATGAAAAAATAATTTCCAAACAGTTAATAGTTTAGGACACAATTTAGCAGTTGGATCTAATTGGATCTTAAAGCACATGCATTCCTCAGTGAAAAATTTGCAACCATTGACATAATGGAGGAACCTTTCACTGAATTTCATCTGAAATCAGCAAGAAAACTATGTGGGTGAGGGTTCAATATCCCTGTCCTAGAATATTTCAAAAACTGATCTAAAAACAACAATCACCAACTGGTGTGGGGCCCTTTCCAACCTGCGCAGCAGATGTTTGGGACTCAGCTCTCTGAACCTTCCCCCGCTCCAATCAGTTTAGGGAACTGAGAGCAAACCATTGCACAGAAAGGTCAGAACCCTCATTAGCCATAAAGGTCATGTAAAACCATGTGCTCCTGACCCCACAGACAAAGCTGCCTCCTATAGAAAAATCCCCTTGCTTATCAGTAAATCCAAGACAAAGATACCAAAAGATTGTACAATAAACTTCTGATAACTCATTGCACCCAGTGAAAAGGGTTCAGTGACTAGTTATCATAAATAACGAGTTAGCCATATATACAAATACATAAATAATAATATAATAATCCTTGCTTGCATTTGATATAATGTTCGAGTTATCACATCTTCTAGACGTCTCAAAGCGCTTCACAGAATATACTGTAAAGTGAATTGACAATATTTTGTGGGGAAAACGCGGCAGCCAATTGCACACAACAGTGCCCCACAAACAGCCATGGATTGAAGTGACCAATTTTTTTTTGAAGGAATTATTTATTACTCCTGGAAAAGTGATCTGCCAATTGACTAACAACCGGGTTTCTACTTACTGCTAGGTAAACAGCGGCGTGTGGAGTAAGGAAACTTGCCCAACATTTTGCCCTCCTGGGAATTGAACCCAGGTCTCCAGCTTGCAAGACGAGCGCTCTAACCGCTGAGCTACAGGATTCCAAATGCTGCCTGGGATATTGACAGCGTTCTGACTTAAATTGTAATGACAAGTTAAGCCAGGGGTGAGTTATTAGGAGTTTACTAAATTCTATATAGGTAACTTGAATTGTCTATGACACTTGTAACATTCTTCAACTCAGAAAAAGTGTGACTGCTGTGCTACTCTGGTTAAAACTGTTTTTCGAAAATTGCCTTACTCTTGAGCATCTGTAATTTAGTCCTGAAATGTGATTGCTTTCCTCATTGATTGATGGAGGATAGTTAAGCTTGATGGAGGATAGATTGGTGATACACAAATATCACCAAAGTGATATTGTTCTCCAGCCAACTGATGTGCATGTGAGGCAGGGTGGATTTTATTTTGGTTAGCCAGGCCACCACCATGTTTAAGAGTATCTAAACCAAACTGAGAATTCCATGCATCCCACCTACATGTGGAAATTCCAGAGATAGATTGTTGGAATGGAATGTGCTCTCTCTCCCTGGAGGCACGCATCCGGCTCCACCACTGTCTCACACCACAGGCCACCGAAGCCCTCATTCATTACATCGAGGCTTGACTATGCAAACTCCTTGCTTGTCGGCCTCCCCAACTTCTCCCTCCATAGGCTGCAGATTATCCAGAACTCTGCAGCTCGTGCCCTCTTTCGCACCAGGCTCCGTGACCCTATTAACCCATCCTTGCCCAACTCCATTGGCTTCCCATCACACAGAGGATACAGTTTAAGATCCTAGTCTTCACCTTCAAAGCCCTCCATGATCATGATCATGCTCCCCCCTACCTCTGCGACTTCCTAAACCCTTACCATCATCCTCGTTTCCTCCCCTCAGCGGGCTCCGGCCTGCTTCACGTCCCCTGCCTCGCCCGTCCCACCATTGGCGGGCGGGCCTTCTGCTACTCTGCCCCCACCCTCTGGAACTCCATGTTTCAGTCCCTCCGCCTCAGCCCCTCCCTTGCCTCCTTCAAGTCTCATCTCAAGACCCTGCTCTTCAACCGTGCTTTCGATCACCCTGCTTCCCCACTCTGCCCTCCACCCTCCCCAATCCCGATCCCCAGCTCGGGTCTGAAACACTGACTGTCCTGCGCCTTCGGACGTCCTCCCAATGTGAAAGGCATTATACAAGTGTAATTTTGTTGTTGTTTACCTAATTCCAAAAAGTATTAGGCGCAGGTCGGTAAGACCCAAGGCTTGAAGATCTGCGAGTGTGCTTCGGGGTCCTGCTGGAGGCTAGCCAGCTAAAACCACATAGGTTGCCATTGATAGCGCTGTCTGGCAAACTTTCTCACTGCTGGTCCAGCTAGGCCCACCCTACCCATTAGGGCTTTGGCACTAAGGAGCTGCCTGGCTCTGGAATCGAGACTACCAAGACCGCCACAGAGGGCTGGCTTGATTCCGACATTCTGTTGTTAAACAAGTCAGGGAGACTCCACTTAGCTTCCCACTCCCCAGGAACACACAGTTGGGGTACTGCTGGAGTCTAACCAGCTAAAACCGGATAGCTTGCTATGGATATTACTGTGTGTCAAGCTTTCCCACTGCTTGTCCAACTAGGGCCATCCTACCCATTAGAGCTTTAGTTTGCAAGGTTAACAGGAGCTGAGTAGGATGATTCCCTGCCCCCAGTGAGTGGTCTACCCTTCCAAGTCCTGCCGATGAGCCAGACTGGCTGTGCTGCATTCAACAGTGCCCTGGAGTACTGTGGGCCCACCTGGCTTAGGAACCGGACTACTGAGACCACCACAGAGAGCTGGTTCGATTCCAATATTGCGGTGTCGAACATGTCACCTTGGAGCCAGTTCAGCTCCCAGGAGACCCCGCTTCCCCCTCCCCCCAAGGAAGATAGTCACTAGTTGTTCAATGACATCCAGCAAGTGTGGGATGAAGGCCTCACAATGTGGATGGTAGATGCCAGGAACTCCCTGCAAGCTTCCCTGTGGGCAATAGAGCTCTGCATAAAATGTGTGAGAGTGTTGCTACCATCTTCCTATTGAACGATGTTTCTACCAGTTGGAAGTGCGGAGTTTAAGCAGCAGCTGCTTCCGCTCTGCAAGCCAGTCAAAGTGGATTCCAGGCTCTGGATATAGGAACGTGTGTTCATGAATTTAAACTCCAGGTGATGCCTTCCAGCAACTGTTGCACCAAGCCTCTGAGTTTCCAACATCGACTTCTGCCTTCAAGGCAGGGTGGAGAACAGCCAAGAATGCTGTAAAGTTTGACCTCTGATTTTTAAACCTGTCTCTGCAAGAACATTGCCTCCCATGAATGCTCGCCAGACACTTAAGTTTATTTACCTTTCCAGAGAACACAAATCCAAGTACAGCACCAGTTATCTGCAGTACTAGTATGATCAGCAAGGTCCACATAAACTGAAAGAAAAATAGGATTTGTGGAGGAGTAATGATGACATGGATAATGTGAACACATTGACACGGGTTCCTCGGACACATTGACACGTATTCCTCGGACACATTGACACATGTAACGGAGACACATTGACATGTGTAACGGAGACACATTGACACGTGTAACTTGAACACATTGACACAGGTAATGGAAACACATTGACACGTGTAACTTGAACACATTGACACAGGTAATGGAGACAGATTGACATGTAACTTGAACACATTGACACTGGTAACGGAGACACATTGACACGTGTAACGGAGACACATTGACACATGTAATGGAGACACATTGACACGTGTAACTTGAACACATTTACACAAGTAATGGAGACACATTGATACAATTACCGTGGTCACATTTCTATGGGGATTCCTCTGATTGTAGCTTTTGGCTCGGTATTTGTTCAGTTTGGTTGTAATGTGATGAAAATACTATGAGACACCTCGTCTCATTAAACAGAAAGACTTCAGCTGGTCTTCTTCAGATATATTTGAGAATATCAGAGTATAAATTAATAAATAAACAAACCTCCTCCTGCAAGAAGTAGGAATCATAAAGCACTTACTATTCTCAACAGTATTTGAATATCACGGAGTGCTCCAATACATCCAATAAAAGTGATGCAGAACATCAAACATCCGACAATGATTAACAATAAAGCAGGATCTGCTGTCAATGAATCCACGGCACCTGAAAGTTATATAAAAAAATCACTATGACCTATATAGATCGGAGACAAAATGGCAACAGGTAACCATGTTGATTACCTCACACTGAGCAGTGTGGGTATGACAATACAATACATTTTACATTTTTATCATGTCTTTCACGTTGGAAGAATAGGGCATCTAAAAGCACATCTATTAAAGAGGCCGGCCCAGCTTTTAACCCTTTTTCAACCAATTCTATTAATTCTGCAACAATTCATCATTTCCTTCTCATTTTATTCATTTGTGTCTTATTTGGTTAAAATGGTGAATTCTGATGATATACGCCTGAACACTGTCCAGAAGAAAGTATTGAAGTTGATTGTGTGTAGACCACCAAGTACGTTGAGCTTGTTTGTTATTTTATTAGATCCTCCCGACAAGAAAGGCGCAATACCAAATGCAAGGATTATTATTTATCATGGCAGATTTTTTCCTCCCATTTTCTCCATATTCCTTAATTCTACTGTGGTGTTGCAGTGATATTTCTTCCCAAGTATCTGACGTTCTCTATTTTAAACATTCAAATTGTTTCTTCACCTATGATTTTATATTTGCTGTTGAAGTACAGCATCTTCATGAGTGTATCTACAGAGACCAATTTAGTTCCTTTATCCTGTCAAGCTTAATAACCCCAACAAAAAAGTTTTCACAACTAATCACTGTTTGCACAAATAGGTTCAAAGAAATCAACAGAAATACGAAAAAGTTAATCAGAACCCCTTTTTCACATTATATGTAGATAATGAATTTTGTTATTAAGGCTATAGAATGGATGTCAAGCTGCGTTAACATCAAGTACTTGCAGATCTGACACCATATATATTACATTAGCCCTTTGCACATGATCCATTAGCTCCAGCAAGGTCCCAAAAGCAGCTGTCACAAATTAATCTGGAAGATTTTTGGCCAGGACTAGAGGAGCAGCTTCCTTCTCCTTTTATATCATTTTGTATTAATGATAACAAAAAATAGACTGGACCTTGGTTTAAAGTCTGATCTGATAATGTAGTGCTTCCTCAGGCTGAGGTGTTAAATTGGAATGAGTTCAAGTCCCAATAACCTCTGACCCAAACCACCAACTGAACACCACTACCTTTCTATTCATGTATGTTTTAATTCAGTTTTACCTGCCTCAGTCACCGTTTTTGCATATATTCCCACTGCTAACATCAGGCCGCTCACAACCTGTTGAGGAAAACAAGCTAACCAAGGATCACTTCAGACTAAATTGAGCTTACGGTAGTTCAGTTTTCAAACTGATGTCTGAGAAGCAACTAAATTACATTTAGTTTATGTGGAGTCCTGTAGCTCAGTGGTCGTGGAGTCCTGTAGCTCAGTGGTTAGAGCACTCGCTTTGCAAGCGAGAGACCTGAGTTCAATTCCAGGCAGAGCGAAACCTTGGGCAAGTTTCCTTACTCCACACGCCTAATAATAATCCCTCCAAAACCAAAAACAATAATAAATTGGTCATTTTCAATCTACGACTGTTTGTGGGACATTGCTGTGCGCAATTGGCTGCCGCGTTTGCCCACAAATATACAGTCAATTCACTTTACAGTGTGTTCTGTGAAGCGCTTTGGAACGTCCTCCCGACGTGAAAAGCGCTATATCAAATGCGAGGATTATTATTATTATTATTATCTTTAATTCTGAGAAACTTTTCAGGATTACTAACAATTTTTTTAAATTTAGAAAGCAAATTCAGCAACTCACCCAGAAAACGTAGCAAAATGAAAATAGAGTGTATTTAATGAGCCGATTTGTTTTCATGTTCTGATGCATTTGAAAACTGGTCAGTCCAGTGCTTTATCCTTTGCTTGTTTCCATTCCATCCTTGTTGAGCAGGTTGACGGGTGGAGGATCACTCCCACCTCTATGAACTGGATGTTTCTCAAAGTTAGCACAGCAACAAAACCCATCAATAATGTGCACACTGGATTTGCTCAATAAAAACAATGAATGCAAAGACCTAACTGTAGGAAAAAAAGATTAAGGTACAGCTTCTTGGCTTAGATATTCTTTCTTAATTGAATTCTGCTTCTTGCTGAGAAAGATTCTGGAATGTTAGAAGCAAACCTCGGCTTTTGTCTGCTTTCTGACTACTCAGACGCAATATTTCCTGAAAATGATTCATTCTATCTAAACATCTCTATCACTGATTGATGGGAACAAGATGCAACATATAAGGTATGTTATCTGCTGCACATGTTATATGGAGTCCTGTAGCTTAATGGTTCGAGCTAAGCAAATGAGAGGACTGATTTGATTCTTGGCAGGGCGAAAAGTTGGGCAAGTTTCCTTACTTCACATGCCTGTGTTCATATAGCAGTAAGTAAGAACCGGTTGTTAGTAGATTGGTGGATCGCTTTTCGGGGGGGTAATAATCCCTACAAAATAAAATAAATAAATAATAATTTGGTCATTCAGTCCACGACTGTTTGTGGGACACTGCTGTGCGCAATTGGCTGCCCCGTTTCTCCCACACAATACACAATCAATTAACTTTATAGTGTATTCTGTGAAGTGCTTTGAGATGTCTCGAAGACGTGATAAAACGCTATATCAATGCAAGGATTATTATTATAAGATATAGTAAAATGTTACAATCGTATGGTACTTCCCATATTTAAAAATTGGTACCTATTATCCTTGAGGGAAGAAGGTCACAAATGTTGTGGATATATTTAGTTTCGTTCATGGTTAGTTTTATAATGGTTTCCAAGATTTTCCGAGAAAATACATCTTGTTTCTCGTACTTTCTCCGTGAATTTCAAAAACTATTTATAAAGTATACAGAAATGTTTCCTTTCATAAGAGAGGCACTGACTGACACACACATCAATGGCCAATTCATAGGTCAAGGGCAATTCAATTACTTTTGATCAAAACTAATGAAGAAGAGCAAGAGAGGGTAACAAAGGGAACAGTTATACTCCTGACTTCAGAAAGTAAAGCAGTGACAGAGAAAAAAACAAAGATTCAAGGAAAAGGGGAGTTAATGAAAAACACAGGCACGATGGGCTGAATGGCCTCTTGTGCTGTAATATTCTATAATATTCGATGATTTGATATAGTGTCGAAACAAAGAGCTTTAGAGTAAGATACAGCCAGTTTGCGGACAGAATGTCTTGCAAAGTCTTGAAGTGAATGATCTATTTTATTTGGGGCATTATTGGCAGGATATTGATAGAAACTCCATTCTCTTTACAGATATTCCCATGGAATCTTCAATGTTAGAACCTAATTTAACGTCTGAATGATTTAAGTACTGATTATATGTAACACAAATTGGATGAATACAAGAGCAGTACTGCAAATTTTAAAAAGACTTAAATTAATTAAGTCACAATTAGCATTTGTCTAGAATTCCGATCTCCTTTAAGTATTTGCATACAACATAAGCCTTTGCATTTATAACAAATTTATTTCCAGAAGGTCCAAGCGACTAGTACTTGGCATGCATGGCTGTTTGGTGGAGCAAGCTTTACCTTGTTTGACCTTGTTATCTTGATGTTGTGATTTTGGTCTTTGATTTTGAAAAAGTATCTTCAAATGCAGGTTATATTTTCATTCTGCAAACTGACTATATATCCACAGCCCAGACATTGCTGTACAAATTACAGTTTGCATTCCGAGGTGGAACATGAATGCCATTCGTGAAGTGTTCAATAATTCTGCATCGTGTTTCCAGCATGTACACAATGAAATAATTATACCTCACCCAGGTAAATAGTTCAACATGTTCAAACAGAAAGAAATATCACTGAATCTCCTTTAGCTATCTGGAAAGTAGTTCAAATCAGTAAAGAAATAAAAGGGAAATCTACCTCCATTTTAAAACACAAAAATTTAAACTTTACCCACATAGTTATTTTCCAAGACAACCAACTTATAAGTGACTTTTGCCACTAAGGAGGGATATATAATTAATTGTGTGAGGTCATCACTGAATATTCCTCATCCCAAACTCTACCCACAGGTGAAGGGTCCGATACAAATGCAAGTGGTTGTTGTTTCTCAGTAAATGAAGCTTTAAATTCAGACATTTCTTCTTCAACACCAACAACAACAAATTGCATTTATATAGCGCCCTTCACCGGGTACCATCCTGGAATGCTTTACAGTAGCGGAGTCTGAAAACGATCATGGGGAGAGGGATGGGGGAGGTGACTGTAAGCACGATCAAAAAGGTCTTTCTGCGTTGGTTGTGAGGTACGGACGGAGGCGGGCAATGTGGCAGAGATGGAAAAAAGCGGCTTGGGTCAGGGAAAAGATGTGGGGTAGAAAGGAAAGTTGGGGATCAAACCTGATGCCCAAGTTGCGCACCGATTCGGTGAGTCTGAGAGAAAGCCTGGGGAGGTTGAGGAGTTCAGACCTGCAGTAGAGAAGTTGTTGATGGAAGCCAACATTCAGCTGCAGGAAGTTTGCGCTCAACCAAGCCTTGATGTCCATCAAACAAGCTAACAGGGCATCAGCATACTGGGAGTGTCAGCTGGAGGAGAAGTAGATTTGGGTGTCATCCGCATATATGTGAAAGTTGACCCCATGTCTGTGGATGACATCGCCGATAGGGAGCGTGTAAATGAGGAAAGAAGGGGGCTGAGGATGGAGCCTTGGGGTCAACCAAGGGGAGTGATGCCAGCTGTTTTGAGGTGGATTGGGACTAAGTCTGAGGAGCAGGATTGATTTATGGTGCCTGCCAGCAGTGGGCATAGGAGGGGGAGTTGAGCGACCAGCAGCTGGGTGGGAAGGGGGTCGAGGCAGCAGGTGGTGGGTTTCATCTGGGTGATGGAGGATGAGAGGGAGGAAGGAGGTGGGGGCAAAGTAGTGTAGGTTGGGACTCATGGGAATGGGAGTGGGTGATGGAGAAGGAAAAGGGGGTGGGGTGGGGCACATGGGGCAGGAGGAGGAGGTGTCCAGGTGGATGTTATCTATCTTGGAGATAAAGAAATCTAAGACTTCTTCGCACTTGGCATTAGATGTTAAATCTTCTTCAAGATCTGATGTTTTAAGTGAACCCTATGTGAAATATCTTGTTCTAAAAATGCACAAGAGGCGAGAGGTACATGACACGGCTGTGAACCAAAACCAGCCGTAGTGATGGATGGCACCCCACTAACAAATGATAGAGTGGAGAACTCGTACAATCCCCTGGTGGTTAAAAAGGCACACCAATACCAATTGAGTTTCATTCCCCTTTAAGAGACAACTTGTGAACAGACAGAAGTCACTTTTCAACCAAAGTAAAAAAGAGTGCCTTTGTTTCAACATGTGCTGGTAAGTGATCCCTGGCATTTTCCAAAATAAATATCAGAGTAATTAATTGGCCACAAAACAAACGGGACACATTTTGTTCCACCTTTTAAACTGAGGTCATTTTCAAATAATTTTTTTTACTTGCTTTAATCCCAGATCAAAAACATTGATCAAAATTAATCAGTTAATGAAACACAAACTAAGGTGGACACAAAACCTTATGACATATGACCATAAAACACATGAACACAAAAAAGTGCAAAAACATTGTTCTGTGTTATTAAATTGAATGAGAAGGAAGGAAAATTTGGATGAATGCCTTCAGAAGAAAGGAGGGCTTCAAATAGGCAGAGAGAATCTTTTTTGAAATGAGATGAATATATGACTTTTTTTCCAAAGTAATATAGCAATTTGTAAGATTCTCTGTTGATCAATTTCATAGAGCAACAGCTCGAAGTGGAACTTCGGGAGGAACTTTTACTGTTCTTCTCAAATGATAAAAATGATTCTATAAACTTAGGAAGTTGTATCCCACCCATGGTTTACAAGTGTTTCTATTCTTTCTTCCTATATGTGGTTACAGATTGATTGCAGCAGATTGAGTTCAAGGTTGTCACTTCACCTATGCACTTCATGCCTGAGCACCTCCCTATCTATGTGACCTTCTCTTCCTCCACTCTTCCATTTATTCATCTGCTCAGTTAACTCGGAACTGTTTTGGGTCTCCCACCTCCTTCTGTGCCATCGATGGGTGGCCAAGCTCTCGGCAATTCTGCCCCTAGCTTCTAGAAATCTATCCCGCTACACCTCCGTGTTGTGCTCTCTTTAAATCCCACCAAAAAACCTACCTCTTCAAGCATGCCTGTGCTTACCTCTTCCTTCCCCCCACCCCGACTTCCTTTAACAACATCCAACACCAGCCTTGTGCAGCACTCCTAGACGTTAACCTACATGAAAGTAAATGCAAGTTGTTGTTATCTGCATTGAACTGTATTTGCCAGGCATCAGCCCATATATATTGATATATTAAATTTTTTTAAAAGGCACAAGGTAAATCGCATGAAAAACTTCCTTCAATTGGGGATCGGTGATAAGGAGGCATTTTCTCAGAATTGTTTGCGAACAAATCAGTTGTAAGAAATATCTTCATTTCCGAGAGTTAACGTGTGAAATTCAGTACAAGTGGCTGTTGAGGTGGATCAATAGCATTATTCAAAAATGCTGAATCGGCATGGTCTCTGTGTCACAGTGCCTGATGAAGAGAAGGCCAATGTTTCGGAGTGATGTGTTTACAGTACACCCATTGCATTTTCCCATTGAGCTGTCAGAGGAACCCCATAATTAATTTGAGCAGAGGGCAAAAGACAAGAGATGTGAATGCACATTGGGGGAAGGGCCAAAGTGACTGATATATTATATAAGAACCTTGCATTTGATATAGCGCCTTATCATGTCTTCTAGACGTCTCAAAGCGCTTCACAGAACATACTGTAAAGTGAATTGACTATATTTTGTGGGCGAACCACAGCAGCCAATTGCGCACAGCAACAACAAGATTATATTTGTATAGCGCTCTTCACAGTGTCCCACAAACAGCCATGCATTCAGTGTTCAACAACAAGAATCTTGGATTTATATAGCGCACTCCACACCGGACGGCGTCTCAAGAGCGCTTCACAGTAACGGATCCCCGGGGCCGAGCCAGGGGGAGGGGAAAAAGGTGACCAAAGGCGCAGTCCAAAAGAAAGGTCTTTAGCTGAGACCTGAAAATAGGAAGAGAGGGGGCGAGGCGAAGGCAGTGAGGGAGTTCCAGAGCCTCGGGCGTAGTGGTTGAAGGCTCGGCTGCCGATGGTGGAGCAGAGGATTCGGGGGACAAGGAGGCCAGACCTGGTGGAGTGAAGGCAACGGGCACTGTTGTGAGGAGATGTCAGAGAGGTAGGGGGGCTGCAGAGGAGTGAAGGTATTTGAAAACGAGTGAGGATCTTGAAGTCGATCCTCTCTGGGACAGGCAGCCAGTGCAGTCTGGCAAGTCTGGGGTAATCGGGGAGCGGAGTTCGGTGCGGGTAAGAATGTGGGCGGCAGAGTTTTGGATGATTTTATGAATGGTAGTGGAGGAGAGACCGGCGAGGAGGGCATTTGAAAAGGGAAACGTGGGTGGGTTTGCCAGTGGGAGGAGAGAGCAACGAGGAGAGGATTTTTGGGTGTACAGAAGAGATGGTTGTGGAGTGCGGGGAGGGTTGGGGAGCGTATTAATGGGGGGGGCGGTGTTATGTTTGCCTTGAGGAGGCGGCTTGTGCGGAGGGATTGTTTTTGAAGGGATTATCATCCCCGGAAAATCAATCCGCCGATCGACTAACAACCGGGTTCCGACTTACTGCTCGGTAAGTAGAGGCGGGCGAAGGAAGGAAGTTCGCCTAACGTTTACGGCGCGGCCACGGGAATCAAACCCCGGTCCTCTCGCCTGCGAGGCGAGCGAGCGCTCCAGCCACCGAGCCACAGGGCTCCAGCCACCGAGCCACAGGGCTCCAGCCACCGAGCCACAGCCACCGAGCCACAGGGCTCCAGCCACCGAGCCACAGGGCTCCAGGCCGAGAGAAAGGGGAGAGTGTTCCAGGGGAGGGGGGAGGGCCGGGGGGGGGGGGGGGGGGGGGGATTGCCATCCCCATAAGGCAAGTGGCATTCGACGAGGCTGACGGGGCAATGGGGCGGGACAACCGACGGGACACGAGCCTCCAGCTCTCATCGACCGCCACCTTCAGGAGCGTCTCTCTCTCTCTCTCTCCCCCCTGTGTCGGGATCTGCCGCGGCCTCGGGAGGCGCGTGCTCCGATTGGCCGCGAGAGCCGAGCGGACGCGCTCTCTGATTGGTCATCGCATGAGGAAGAGGGCGAACGGTGCACGCGCTCCCCCCCCCCACCTCCCACCCTCCCGCAGCCGATTGGCCGACCGTGACACAGGTGCCGACCGCGATTGGCTGGCGTGGCGGCGGCGGGGCGGATTCCTGACGCATTCCGCAGCGCTGTGATTGGATTGGCCCCTGCGTTGAGCGAGAGGGAAAGCCTCCGCCCCCTCTTGGCCGCCTGTCCAATAGGCGTCGGCCGGTTGCGGCGGTTGGCTGGACGACCTCGCGATGTTTGAGCGCGAGAGGAAGCGGCGGCTGCATCATCCCGGGAGCAGGAGCCGGGTCTGTCTGCTCCCCTTCACCCCCTCCCCCTCCCTGACGGACTACATGGTGACTCAACCACCACCACCTCCTCCTCCTCTGCCGCCGCCGCCGTCGTCTGCTGCTCCTCCTCACTGCCTCTCTCCCACCTGGACGGTTCACTTCACCCGGCGGGGAGCTCGAGCTCGGGACCGACCGGCCGGTGCCGGAGGGTAACGGTCCAGAGGAGCGCGCGCGCGCGCGGCTGTTTAAAGAGGAACCGTGACACAGCGGAATCCAAACACGACCCCTGTCAGCCCGCGCGCGACCCCCTCCTCCCTCCCTCACCCACTCACTCACTCAGGTAACCCGACTTCTGTCTGTGCCTCTCACTCCCTCCCCCCCCCCACCCCCACCCGCCCGCCCCGGCCCTCCCTACTCGCCTCTGGTTGGTCATCCCGCTCGGCAGCAGTTCATTGCACTGGTTTATTGCATGTTCTGACTCGGCTCCTTGTGCAGTTTTGTGGGGGTTTCGGGGGGGGGGGTAAATGCACCGTGGCTTTGGGGTGTATGGGGGAGGGGAGGGTATTTCCATGCTGAACCTCTCTCCCCTCCTCCTCCCTCCTAACCCCCTCCCCCTCCCCCAACTTGTTCTGTTCACAAACGAGAAGTAAGGCACGGATTCGATTGTGCATTTCAATACTTTTATGACCTTAACTTGTACGCTTGGACCTCCTCGCACCGGCAGAGTGGCTTCGCGGTTTGCTCTGGCGTGGGCCAGACGAGGTCATGGTTCCTGTTGAGCTCGCCGTGCCGTCCGTGGCCATGTTGCCTCAGTGGTCAGAGAGTGCGCATTCCATTCCGACAATCTGTCTCAGGAATTCCCGTGTGGAGGTGGGGGTGCGTGGAATTCTCAGTTTGGTCGGGATACTCTGAAACGTGGTGATGGATTTCCGCCCACGTCAGGCACTCGGCCGAGCCCCCCAAAAAACTTCAGTTTCAGGCATAGCATTTTTTTTTACAGAAGCAAAAAGTGAGTGGCGATTGAATGCTTTCGAGATTCAGTTCGGGCATCAGGTAGAGCACCAACAGTTGGTTTCAGTGCCCCTTGGTTAGCGAAGTAGAAATGGATAAGGGTTTGAGCTCCTGATGGCTGCTGGAGGTTGGATGAAGATTGGGTTGGGATGTCACATCACCTACAGTTAGGTACAGTGAATAATGGCTTGTTGAGTAGGTGCAGAAGGTAATAACATTTGTAGAATTATACTGAGCAATTGAGAAAATGATATTCAGCAGGAGGAAAAACACTCATTTTCTAAAGTAACACAAAATTTATTGAGTGACTTGCCACGTGAAAAGCAACTTTATTTTGAAAACCAAGATGGATTTAATAACTAGTTGCTGTATGGTCTGATTTCAGTAAATATTTACTTTGACTTCATTTAATTAATAAATAAATGCATTTGAATTGAGGTGTTTTGAATCAATGTAACAATATAATTCTGATAACTCATCACTCCAAGGGTCAGGGCCCAGCATTGAGTTATTTGGAGTGATAAGTTAGGCATATATCATAATATTGCAAATAATATTATATTATAGTAATCCTTGCATTTGTTATAGTGCCTTATGTCGTTGAGACATCAAAGTGCTTTACAGTATATACTGTAAAGTTAATTGACTGTTTTTGAAGGCAAAACGATGGATATTGACAGCATGATGACTTAAGTGGTAGTGTCAAGTCGTTGTTGTTGAAGTCAGGTTATCAGGTGTTTACTGTATATTTAATGGAGCTGTTTGCTAAATTAAATTATAACATTATTGTTCCATTGGTTATTTCTTTGAGCTGTTCTGCTATGGATGTGGACATTGCCAAGTTTCATATTTTATATAGGCAATGCTGCTCTCTTTACAGGTTAGTTCTGGTCTTTGGAGCACCCTTCTCTGGGACCCCTTCCGTTGTTCAATCTGTTACTTCTTCCTGGCATTTTTCCTTGTGTGAACTACTCAGATCTTCTCTCTACTCATGTCTGTTATCCTGATTGGCCACACTTCAAAAATATTCCTTGCAATCACGCATGCCTCACCTGTTTCCTTAGAGATCATTTGGACCAGGCAGTGATGCCTTTTCCATATCATCAGACCAAGAAATTCACGTCTCCCTCAGTGTTGCTATTGCTATCCTTGAATTCTCTCCCATAATATCCCTTTTTGTAGTGTATTCAAAGGTAATCTGCTGATTTTCTTTTGCTGTCCTTGCCTCTTCTGTTTTGCTTGGGTTTGCTTTGCACTGTAAAATCCAAACTGATTAAAGAGAAAAAATTAATACTGGAAATCTGAAGTAAAACACAGAAAAACAGTGCTGGAAATAGACAGCGGAAGATCAGCACGTGAAAGAGAGATGAGATGAATGTTTCAATGTGTCCATTTATTAGGACAGGCAGATTTACTTTCTGGTTTTATTCTGTGTGTCACATTAATGATACTTTTGTATTGATTGGTTTTCTTGACGCACAGTGTGGAAGTATAGTAGTATCCTTCTATGTTTCTACAGTATAGTGCCCTAGTGTCTTTAAGAAATTGACCTCTTATGCATATTTGCTTAGCTGCTGAACTAGGTACTGAGAACCAAATGGATGTTTGGTTTGTTTTGCCCACAGAATACAGTCAATTAACTTTACAGTATATTCTGTGAAGCACTTTGAGACGCTTCAACAACATAAGACGCCATATCAGATGTAAGGATTATTATTATCAAAAGATCTGCACAGCAGCCTCTTACTGGACACTTGGCTCCATTTGCTTCTTATGTTCAGCAGTGATATTGAAAGTGATGTTCTTTCTGCTGCTAACATGGCCAGAGTAGTCAACCCATTTGAAAGAAACAACAATCACTTTCAATAGATACATGGGAAGATAAACGTTGTGCTTTTCTTTATCGCAGAGGCTCTGATGTTGGCCTCTTAATCTTGCCACAAGATTGTAAACTGTTTATTTATGACCTCTTTGCCTTTGATAACATCCATCTGAAGGGAAGCATGTGGTGAAGATGTCTAGAAAAGCTGGAAAAATAGTGAGAAACTTCAAAACACCTCTCTTTCTGCTACTCTTTATGGAAAATGTTCTGAACTCAGCAAAGCTGCTTTCCATACAGTGATAAAACTCACAGACTTGATTGAAAGCTTATAATAATAATCCTGCCTCTTGATCTTTGATTCAATATTCACTAGTTTGATTTTACAGGGTGAGGAGAACTTAGTACTATGCTTGACAGAGTTTAAAAGTGGTGGGATTTCAGTTGAATTTCAGGAATGTGTATTTCATCCTTGACATTTTGGGGAAACTTTCATTTAAAACGTTTGTGGATAAATAGAAAATCATAGCAATCTCAAGGAAATGATCATAGTTGTTCAACAATATTTTGATTTAAAAAAATCAATTTCAATTGAAATTTACCTCATTTTCTTCCAAACATTACTCTAAAAACCTGTTTTGATCAAAAATGATGTATATCCCTGGAATAATTATTTTGAAACTGAACCCAATCTGACCGATGCTGAACTGGTTATCTCTTTGAAAATAATGTTGAAATGGTGTCATTAATTTAATTATCAGGCTGTGTTATATAAAGAACAAATGTATTTTTGTGAAGACATTGAACCAATTAACAAATAATTTCTGCACATGTGACCCACATGTGTGATTTGATTTTATCTCTCAGTGGACAGATCTATTTTTCACCTTGGTTACGTGTGAGATTTCCATTGCAGGTAAACTAAATTCTGCAACTGGCAATTGTATTTGGTTTATTTATCCATATATACAGTAAAACTCACATAAGTCTTATCTTTATGAATTGTATAATTTCATGAGTCATACACTCGCCTGAGTCCCATTCAGTTTTCTATCAAAACCACTTTGCACTACTCATATTAATCACTTCCTAACTCGTAAGGCAACTCCCCTACCCCATATTACTTCCGTACTTGTTGACTGCATTGAATCGCTGGTTATGACATCCTGACCGGTCGCCGCATGTGCACTTACCCATTGGCTCTATTGAATAATGGGAAATGTAGTCTTGATCCTTCGAGACATCTGCAGAGTAACTTCATTTCCTGCGATTCCAACGTTTCCCTGGAAGTGCGCATCAGGTGACGGTCAAGACTCATTGAATCACAGGATATGTAGCCTTGATCCATCGCCGCATGTCCACTTCTCGGCTGCAGTGATAAACTACTGCAAGTGCACTTTCCGTGGCACTGATGGACTATCGCGTGTGCACTTATCTGCTGCATTGAATTACGCATGCGAGGGGCAATTATTGATTAAATCTGATTTTGTATGATTTATACAGTTTGCTGGACTTTGGGTAAGGCATATAAAATGTTATGGTCCTGACTGATACACCTTATGTGAGTTTTGTAGTAAAATATATACTTATATATAATGCACTAGCTGTATCCGTTGCAGCTACGCTTGCAAGCAAAGACTCCAATATAGAACGTAGATTTCGGTATTACTTCCTTTATATTGTATTATACTTCATATTATGTTATTATACTTTAAATTAGATTATTATATTTTATATTATTATACTTTATATTAGATTATTACCTATACTAATAAAGATAAAGTGGCTGTCTGTGTATCTGACGCTCACGCAATAACCGATTGATGTAGAGACATGATTTATATCTCACCGGATAGGTTTTGCAACTGACAGTGTCATGGTATATTTTTGGGGGGGATCTCCTATCGTTGATGAGCTGTATTAAAAAATGCTTTATTTAAATCCCAAAATATGAGGTATGCATTATATTCTGCAACTATGTAGCAAAAGGGACCAGCACACACAGTTCAGAGAGATGCATCTATATTCTGTAACAAATGTATGGCACTTTTTTCTGGTTGTCATGGGAGCTGGAGTCCTCCCATGTGGGACAGACAGAGAGACTTGGGGAGAGAGACTGTGAGAGAGAATATATTATAAAGTGTAGTGACTGTTAGTTTTATGGGAGAGACAGAGAGAGACTGTGAGGGAACATATATTAAAGGAGACCTCCCACTGAGTCATCCCAAAAAGAGTCCTCCCAGCAGAGTATAGTAAAGAGAAAATGTCTGTGCGTCAATCTACATTCCATATTGAATCCTTTGGTTGCAAGCGAAGCTGCAACGAGTACAGCTAGTACTTTATCTAGAACACGTGAAAAGCGCAATATCAAATGCAAGGATATTATTATTTTACCATAGGAGATCCCCCCCCCTCACAAAAATGCGCATAGCTTTCTCTGTCTCTACTTTATTGCATAACATATTAGTATAGATGTATCTCTCTGGAACAGTGTGTGATTTCCTCTGTTGCTACTTTGTTCCATACACACCTGATATTTTGCCTTAAAGCATTTTTAAAAATTTATCTCATCAACAATAGGAGATCCCTGAAAAAATATGTCCGTGATACTTGAGCAAGCAAGACCTTTCCGATGAGATATAAATCATGTGCATACTTCAATCGGTTATTGAGATGTTGGCTGATGCACACACTCGCAGACAGACATTGTCGTTTTATTAGTACATATAAGAACTTAGATGTATACTCTTGAATGCAAGGGCTCAACTCAGGAGGGATGAAAAATCTTGGCGCTTGGAAACGGATATAATTCATCCGAAGGCATCCTCACCTATAAGGCCATCCACGGCCTTGCTCCCTCCTACCTCTCTGACCTACTATCCCCCTACCTACCTGCCCGTACCCTCCGTTCCTCCTGCTCCGGTCTGCTCCACGTCCCCCGCCCCAATCGCCCTACCATCGGTGGTCGGTTGCTCTGGAACTCCATCCCCCAGTGCCTTCGCCTTGCTTCCTCCCTCTCCTCCTTCAAGGCCGGACTCAAAACCTTTCTCTTTGACTGAGCCTTCAGCTCCCCTCTCGACTCTCTTCCCCCTCCTCACTCCCTCCCTTCCCTCCCCTCACCGTGACCATTTCCCCCCTGCTCGGGTCCTGACCTAACTGTGCAGCGCCTTGGGACGTCCTCCCGACATGAAAGGCGCTCTATAAATGGAATCTTGTTGTTGTTGTTGTGCTGGATAGAAGAACTTTGAATTTATATTCCCATAGCAAGAACTTGGGTTGTTAACATAGACTTAAGCTAAATCACAAGTTTTCTTTGAGGAATTCACCATGAACATTAACACCAGACAAAACGCAACTTGCATGGTGTTTGTCTTTGCTGATTTATGCTTCATTTTGCTGTTATAGAACTTCCTAAACATTTCAATGTACTTCAGTTGGTAATCTCTGGTCCAATTTACCAATATCCATCATTGCAAGGAATTTGGCTGAGTGATGAATTACATTAAATCTAGAAAGGAGTTTGCTGCAGTTGTGGTAACTGTTATCTTGTACAATTTACCTAGCACCTTTAATATTCATGTCTCAAAGCGCTTCTTAGGTATGTATCCTCAGGAAGGATAGAGGATGGAATAGGTTGGAGAATATGGTCTACTTGATGAAACATCTACCAGACCATACAGCGAGCAACAGCAGCAATTTCACTTCCAACTAACAGCATGAAATACAAAATATTCCCTATGATGTACAGATTGACAAGAATGGCAACATTATATTTGAACACTGTTATCTTACCAACTTGTATCTAATTGCCTACAAATTACACAGTTCGCTTTACAGTTTATACTGTGAAGAGCTTTGAAATGTGATCCTGACATGAAAGGCTCTTAACAAATGCAAAGATTTTTATTGTTCAATAACACTGTAATATTTTTCAAACAATCAAAGGCAGTTGAGAAAACTGAGAATTTTTAAACCTTTCGATCTTACCACACCTGTTGATGGAAAGCGCTGGTAAAGACAGAATTCATAAAGTAAATTGACAATATGGGGACTGAAACTTTCGCACTTTTGTGGTTTTCATCCACCATCAAACTTCTCCCAACATGATGTGACAGATCCCGTGCTTCTTGGATGTCAAACAACCAACTAGTGACTATCCTCCTGGGGGGTGAGGAGGTAAGCGAAGTCTCCTTGGAGCTGAACTGGCTCCAAGGTTACATGTTTAGCAACGGAATGTCGGAATTGAGCCAGCCTTCGGTGGCGGTCTTGGTAGTCCCGATTCCTGAGCCAAGCAGTTCCGCAGTGCCAAACACATGCTCCATTTGCATCTCTGCGTAATAAATCCAAGGTGTCTACAGACTGGCAAGAGGAAAGCATAACGCATTACTTTTACATGTGGGAATCTGCTGTGAGATGGTTAAAACTGCAAATAAATCTCAGTTGCTGAACTACAAATTTGGATGTTGCAACTGTTGTCTGTTCAAACCTCAGGACACTTTTTCTGAGTCACTGCGATTCCAGCAGCAGCAAACATTTTTGTTTGACAAAGCACAGAACAGAATAAGGGCATTCTGGCCATATATCTAGTTCCCTTCAAAGTCCGTGGAGACTTCCAGAATGCTAAAGTCAACCACGCACAATCTCCACAATGCTCTTTCATCCATCACTGAAACCTTGCCCCCTTTCCTCCACAGGTAACATCTCTCCATGACTCTCAACCTTTTGTCCAGTCTAACTGAGATTTTACCTGCATAAACGTTTGCTTATTATTGAGGGCTTTCGGACCTAGAAACATACTTATTGCTGTTCTATGGACCTTTCCATTCCTGTAATGATCTTTCCAAACTAGAGTGCTTAAACTGCATATAGCATCTTGCCTATAAAACATACAGTCAGTTCACCTTACAGTATATTCTGTGAAGTCCTTTGAGATGTCTCAATGGCATGATAAGGAGCTACATCAAATGCATGGATTATTATTATGATATTCCAATATGGCCTTATCAGTTAATCTGCACAATGCTGAAAAATTGCAGTACACAATAATAATCCTTCTCACATTGTGAAACATCTCAAAGCTCGTCAAAGAATTAAGTGTGAAGCGCTACAATTGATTGAAAACCTTCCATGATGATAAATATGTCCAAATCTCTTTTCCTTTTTACCACTGTCAAAGAACAACTCTTTATTTACATGTATTTCATATTTCTTTGTTCAGCTTTTCCACTTTATTTCATTAAAATTAATATGCCATTCCATGCTTATTTGCCCCACATCTTCATCTTAAATGCAATTTATTCTTCTGTTAATCACTTGTTCATTAGTTATCATCAGTAAATATTTATCAGTAAACATTTATCACAAGAGATATCCAATATTTCATTTATTTCACTTATGAATGAAAGAATTCCATGGGCAGAAATCTTTAACAAACTTGCGTGTGGAACTTTATCAAATGGCTTTTGGAACAAGTCATTTATATTCAATGGATAACTCATCTAATTTTTTTTTCTGTTTCAAAATTCCAGTAGATTTGTGAGGTTGGGGGCTATTGCTTCTCTGTCCATATCAGTATTTGTTTCCTTAGAATCCAGGTCGAGTGATGAAGAGTGATTATCTGGGGAGTGGGGAGGGGGTTCCACTGTAGCAGAGATTTTATTGCAATGATGACCTGTAGCAGAGGTCGATTATAACTTGGACCAATAGAAAAGTGCGGAAATATTTGCAGGGTATTTGACGAATTTTGTGGAACATTACAGAGAGGCTTGCTGCATTTTGCGCAAACGTCGGGAGGGTTGATGGTGCTATTGAGACACATTTTACGAAACAACCCAGATTAAGACTATATTTTTACTTTTACAAGGAAATAGTCTCAATTGAGCTCCTGATATTTCACAAGTTAATGAAATAACCTTGTCAGAACTTCATAGCATTTAAAACAATTTAACAGTTATACAGCGCCATTTTTGTAAATTTACTTCTCAAAGCAATTAACAAGGTTTGTTAGTGAGCAAGAAGGGTAAAGAATTTAGAAGCCATCAATGGTACAGTTTTACAGTATGTTTCACTGCTTTACGCTCCAGTTCAACTTGAACACTAAAGGTATACATGACACCCTGAACCATGGTGTTAAACAGATTGCAGATGTTTATAGAAATCCGGATGAATTCAATACCATAAACAAGCTACAGCAATCCAGTTTTAGTTTGGTTTCTCATTCAGACCTGAGCTTCCCTCTCTGAATATAACTAGACAAATGTGTTTGGGCCTCCTGCCCATATCGCTCTCAAATGTCTTCTGATAAATATTGTTTATAACAGAAGATTTTCTAATTTTAAATACTTTTAAAGGGTACAGATGTGCTTTGTTATTTATGTAGCTGACGTTTTCGTATTAAATCTTTGGAACCACAGAAAGATCTGTAGTTATGCCAGGCCAACAAATGATCCATTGAAAACAAAATCCTCTGATCTCTTGTGTGAATGGTTTTGGAGCATTCTATTTTTTGGGGGTGAAGTAACATTTTCCTTTTTTTGTTACAGAATATGGCCGAAGAGAAATCACAAGCTTCCTCCAAATTTCCATTTCCATACAAGCCCTATACCATTCAGGAGCAGTTTATGACTGCACTGTATGATGTGCTTGAAGCAGGGAAGATTGGTATATTTGAGAGTCCCACTGGAACGGTAGGTAGTGATCACTGAATTGTGACTTTAAAACTGGACACAATTATTTTGTAACCCACCATTTAATTTTCTAACGGGTAACTGGATTGAATCCGATGGTGGGATCCTTGACTTTTTTCCAACAATAACAAATTACATATTTATAGTGCCTTTCTCGTCAGGAGGACATCTCAAGGTACTGGACAGTCAGGGATCTGTACTCAATCTGGTGGTTGAGATCAGGAGGGCGGGGAAGGTAGGGGCAGGAAGGAGACTGAAGAGGAGTGTATTGAGACGGGTCTTGAAGGAGATGAGGTGGAGGGACTGTGGGATTGAGTTCCAGAGGGTGTGTGTGGAGATGTGAAGGCCCTCCCGCCAATGATGGGGGGCGGGTAAGGTGGGGGATGTGAAGCAGGCTGGAGCCCGATGAGCGGAGGGAGCAGGCAGATTAGTTGGGGGTTAGGAGGTCACAGAGGTAGAGAGGAGCAAGGCCATGGAGGGCTTTCAAGGTGAGGTCCAGGATCTTAAACTATCTTCTGAATGATGAGGAGCCAGTGGAGTCGGGCGAGAATGGGGGTGATAGGTTTGCGGAGCCTGGTGCAGGAGAGGACACGGATGATATTCAGCAAGTGGAGGGAGGAGTTGGGGAGGCCGACAAGCAGGGAGGTTCTGAGGTTGAGGCTGGATGTGATAAACGTGTGGATGAGGTTCTCGGCGGCCTGCAGTGAGAGACAGTGGTGAAGCCGGGCTTTATTGTAGAGGTGGGGAAAGGCAGAGCGGGTCTTGGCATAGACGTGGGCTATGAAGGACAGTTGAGTGTCGAACAGTACACCGAGGTTCTGCATTGGGTCCATGAGGTGTAGAGTGCATCCATGAAGGGTGATGCTGTCAGCGCTGAGCCAAGCAGAAGTTCTCATCCAGGACTTGATGTCCAATAGGCAGTCTGTGAGAACAGCAGTGGTCCTGGAGTAGAGGGTGGAGGCAGCGAGGTTGTCAATTGCGTACATGTGGAAGTTGACCCCATGCTACGGTTGATGTCACCAAGTGGGAGCTTGTAGATGTTGAAAAGGAGAGAACCAAAGACAGAGCCCTGAGGGATGCTACACGTGACAGTGCAGGGCCTGGAGGAGGAGCAGTTAGTGGAGACAGTAGGAGAAGTAAGATTTGAACCAGGCAAGGGCAGGCCTGTGAAGGTTGAGCTGAGCGGTGGAGGAGGATAGAATGGGCGACAGTGTTGAAGGCAGCAGAGATGTTGAGGAGGACAAGGAGGCAGAGAGAGCCCTGGTCACAGATGGACAGAATGTCGTTAGTGACTTTGACCAGCGCTGTTTCCATGCTGTGGGCAGGTCCAGAAATGCAGAGCCCAGTTACAGTGCACCGGCTAACATCAAATGACTGGCTAACATCAATTGACTGACTAGTTTGGATCTTGTTTGGCTGAGTGTATTGGGCTGCTTCCACAAGTGTTACAAATCAAAATCCTTTCCAATAAATCAGTGATCCGATTCACTGAATATGCGTGCTGTTTTTCCTCAGGGAAAGTCACTCAGTCTCATCTGTGGAGCTCTCACTTGGCTCAGGGACTTTGAAGAGAAGAAAAAACTGGAAGCTGCTCAGCTTCTAGCAGACCGAGTGCCACAACAAGGGCTATCCAAGGATCTGCAAAATTCCTCGGTTTCTAGCTCTGACAAATTGGAAGCCAAAGCTTCTGGGGGTGAATTGGACTGGATCACAGAATTTGTGCAGAAGAAAGCTGAACGTGATCTTGTTGATAAGTTAAAGGTTAGTGTTTTATTTTGTAGTCTTATGTTTTTAACATTTGGAATATCAGACTCACAATTTACCGGAAGTAGAAAGAGGATTGATTATCAGCCTAGTTAGAACTGGCGCCTAGTGTGGATAAAACAGTGTGGATAATTGGTCATCACACAAATACAAACCATACTAAAACTTCTTCCAATTATTTTGTCACTAAAGTACCACTTTTGCCATTCCTTTTCTTTCTTTTTCTGCCCTTCTATCTATGCCTCTGTCTCTCTTACTCTTTCTTACTTTTTTATTCTCTATCGTTCTCTCTTAGAATCTTTCTCTAAGTCTCTTTATCTCTGTTTCTTACTCTGTCTCTGAGTTTATCTCATTATCTGTGTCTCTAACCTCACACTGTAAATTGTACTGCTAGAAAGTAAATGAGAGGGACCAAGATTGATCATGCTGAGATCATTTTTATTTTGCTTGAGGAAGGACCTAATATTTGTTTTGGAATATTTTGTGGCAGCTTCAAAGATTGCAAAATCTGGACCCATAGCACAGTGCATTTTTTCATAGATTCATAGAATGTTACGGCACAGAAGGAGGCCATTCGGCTTATCGAGTCTGCCGGCTTTGATAGAGCAAGTCACTTTCACTAACCCCAATCACCAGCTTTCTCCCCATAACCCTGCAAACCCGTCTTCCCCAGATACCTATCCAGTTCTCTCTTAAAAGCTGTTATCGAATCGGACTTCACTACCCTTTCAGGCAGATCATTCCAAATTCGAACAATTCGCTGAGTGAAAACATTTCTTCTAACCTCCCCTCTGCTTCTTTTGGTAGATATCTTAAGACTGTGACCACGGGTCACAAACACACCTACCAGCGGAAACAGCTTTTCCTTATCTAGCCTGTCGAAACCTTTCATGATCTTGAAGACCTCTATCAGGTCCCCGCGTAACCTTCTCTGCTCTAATGGGAAAAGTCCTAACTTCTCCAGCCTGTCCTCATAGCTAAGGTTCCCCATTCCTGGTATCATTCTCGTGAATCTCCTCTGCACCCTTTCCAGTGCCTTAATGTCCTTCCTGAAGTAAGGTGCCCAGAACTGGACGCAGTACTCCAGCTGAGGCCTAACCAGTGTTTTATATAGATTAACCATAACCTCCCTGCTCTTATACTCTATGCCACTACTAATAAAGCTCAGTACACCAAATGCCTTTTTTGCTGCCTTATCTACCTGCCCCGCTACCTTTAATGATTCGCTTACTTGAACACCCAGATCTCTCTGTACGTTCACCCCCCTTAAGATTGAGCTACCAACTCTATATTGCCTCCCTTCATTTTTTCTACCTAAGTGTATCACCTCACACTTATCCACATTTAGTACGGTGTATCAACTGTCCATCTCCCTACAGTGTTACCTACTGCTTCAAACATATGTTTATTTTTTTTTAAAAGGATGATGAATTAAAGAGAAAGAAAAGAGAGGAGCGACTGGAACAGATCCGGAACAATGTGCAGCTGAAGTACGCTTCTAAACGCAAGGTACGAAGTTTGATTAAAACAAATAAATAATCCTTGCATTTGGTATAGGGCCTTTCAAGTCAAGAGGACTTCTCAAAGCACTTCACAGAAATATAGGAACATAGGCCCTTCATCCCTTCAAGCCTGCTCCGCCATTCTAATAGATTATGGCTAATTTGTACTTCAACTCCATTTTCTCCATTTCCTTTGATCATCTTACTGTACAATTTTTGTTAGACCTCAGACTGGAAAATTCCAATTGATCTAGTATCTGCAACCTTTTGGGGGAGAGAATTCAAGATTGCCACAACCCTGTTAAGTGTAGTGACTATGTATTTGTGGGAGAAAGTGGCAGACCATATAATTTCACTCTGTCTAGAATATCTGTGGCTAATTTTGAAGGTCTAGCAAACTCCTACTTGTCACTCCAAGCGAAAAGGGCCCAGTGATGAATTCTCCAATATGATGAGTTAGCTGTTGGTCCTTACCTCATGCTCCCAGGCTGCTCGGCGCTCAGCTATAACTCAGCTATACATAGCTATAACTCAGCTAGCACCCGCTTGCTGCGGACATCGGACAACCTCCGCTTAGCATCCGCACCTGTCACAGGATAGGACATGAGGCCATGGCTACACAAGATGCCATCTTAAAGGACCAATCTGATCAATTTTACATTGCAAGCGTTTACCAGAATTTCTGAAATGTGATGAGTTATGTGTTAAGCCGAGTGACGAGTAGAGCAATGTCCATTACGAATAGTTTATACGGGAAGTGGTCAGGAAATTGACGACATAACAAATGAAGTGATAGTGATGAGTTAAGCCATCTCGACTTGTCCGGAGTTTATTGTATTTTACAAAGGTAACATATTTGCAGTAACATTCTACATTCAGTTTATGTTTGATCCCAGAGAGCTGACGATGACACTGAACATCTTATTCGGATGAGTAAAGAGGTGCTGGCGTCTGACCAGTCAACAGCGACAGAGCCTTTAGACAAGGAGGAGGAGAGCTTTATTCTTGCAGAATATGAAAGTGATGATGAAAAGAAACCAAAGGATTCTGGGTAGGATTTTCAATACTTTTTTTTTATTCCAAAACCTTCATGATGTGACGGGACGATGGGGAGGATTGAGTTAGAAGAATTTCTGCCAAATGCTGCTCGTGTAAATGGATTTTAGGGAAACAGCAACGGATTTTACTCTAACGGATTTTACTATAATTCAAATTAAAACAATAGTGTTCAATATTTTTGTCCGCTCGAGTTTTTCTGTAAACTATTCTCTTACCTTCCCAAAATAGTTAGAACTGTAAAAATGACACAATCGGGGCCATATGTCTGTCAATGTTTGCTCCTCCAATACGTCTCACATCTTAATCCTAACTCTGCTCTTTCCCCGTATCCTGTTCTTTTACATGTGTTTGTCCAATTCTTTTTTAAGAGGCTTAATCGACTCCGCTCTAACAGTCACTTCTGGCAAATCATTCCATACCCTGACAACCTTCTGGGAAAAGTTCAACTGAACCTCTTTTGAACTTTTGCTTCTCAAGTTATTATCTTGAATTCATGTCTGCTTGTTGTGAAATCCCCTAACAATTGAAAGAGTTTTCCACAAGTAATTCTCAGACATTATCTTAAGCTAGAAAGCTTGGAAGGCCAAATTTGAGCCATGTGCATTTGGCAGTGTAGGCTATGGATTTTAGTGAGAGGGGTTGGCTGTTTACCCAGGTTGTTGATTGTGGCAGCATGAATGTTGCAGGAAATTGACAGAGGAGGTCAGGGTTGGAGCAGATGAATTGCCAGAGGGGAGGGAGTTCAGAAAACTTGAGGGTAGTTGTGAGGGAGTCGGGCTTAGTTTTCCCCATTGACATTATGATTACCTTGTCAGTGCTACCAGCTTCATATACATTCTCTTTTTAGGGAATTCAAAGGTTGCGCTGTGTGAATCAAGCCAAATTCCTTGTCTTACTTGTACTTTGCACATTTTAATGCCTGTAATAATCTCATATTTTGTTTAAAAACACAACATAAAAGGACAGTGCGCCAAGTAATATTTCATTCTGCAATTACTCATCCTGGCTTTTGAGATGAATTCTATTCATTTAAGACATTATTTTCTGAATCCATTTTCCTCAATTGTGTAAATTGTTCTTTTTCTGCCTGGTACAGAAAGTGAAGCACTATTATCAGACTGAAGTGAATAAAATAATAAACGTTTTAATCACCGACATTGTAATTGGAGAAAATGGTCAAAACAATCTGTCAGTTATAAATTACATTGCAATTCTGTTTTTTGCAGTTCTGAAGGGTACCTTTCACACTGAAAAGAAAACTACCTGGCTGTACTTAATACAGCAAATTCAGAGAAATAATTTCATAGATATTTATTGCATATATACTTCAGCACACTAAACATGCCATCCAAGAATGCCCTCCAATAGTGGGGCGAGCAAGTTGGGTGACGTGAAGCAGAGAGAGCGAACAGGATGGTAGGAGGTTAGAAAGTCGGAGAGGTAGGTGGGGGGCAACACCGTGGAGGACTTTGAAGGTGAGGACCAGGATCTTGAACTGTATCCTCTGTGTGATGGGAAGCCAGTGGAGTTGGGCAAGGATGGGGCTGATAGGGTTACAAAGCCTAGTGCGGGAGAGGACATGGGATGCAGAGTTCTGGACGATCTGCAGCCTGTGGAGGGAGGAGTTGGGGAGGCCGACAAGCAGTGAGTTTGCATAGTTGAACCTCGATGAAATGAAGGCATGTATAAGGGTTTTGATGGCCTGCCGTGTGAGACAGTGTCGGAGCCGGGCGACGTTGCGGAGGTGGGGGAAGGCAGAGCGGGTCATGGCGCAGACGTGGTGTAGAAAGGATAATTGAGGGTCAAACAAGACCCCAAGGTTCCGGACTGGCTTAGCAAAGTGGAGTGTGCAACATGGATGGTGATGCTGTCAGAGTCTGAGGTGAGGAGGTGCTGACGGGAGCCAATCAGGAGGGCCTTGGTCTTGTTCAACTGAAGAAAGTTAGCTCTCATCCAGGACTTGATATCTGACAGACATTCTGTCAGCACAGCAGTGGTCAAGGGTGGAGGCAGAGAGGTAGACTTAGGTGTCATCCAGATACATGTGGAAGTTGACCACATGTCTGCGGATGATGTCACCAAGAGGGAGCATATATATATTGAAGAGGAGGGGACCAAGGACAGAGCCCTGAGGAATGCCGCACGAGACGGTGCGGGGGCTAGAGGAGAAGCTGTTTGAGGAGATGAAAGGCGGTGTTAGAGGTACGATCTGTACCAGTCAAGGACAGAGCCGTTGAGGTGAGAGGGGAGGTGTTGGATGAGGATAGAAGCGGTCAGTGGAGTGCTCTTTAATTTTGTTGTTCAGTGAAGTTTAGTTCAGTTTGTTGTTAAAATTAAATGACATGCTGAGATGGGAGTTACAAAATGTTGGGAGACTTGATTATGAAGAGATGTTCAGTTATCAATACTTTATAGCAGCCACCAGACAGTTGTATTATCCAATAATTTTATGAAGTCATTGAATGGAAAACTAATTCTTTGTTTTCATTTTCCTCAGCCTGTCCGATGATGACGATGATGTGGAGGAAGAATATGTGACAAAGGTGACTAGAATGAGCACACTATTCTTGGTGCATAATATAATTTAGATTTATTTGCAACACATTGACTGGCAAGTTAGTGATTACCCGACCAAATGAAGCATTGAAGAGGGCAAACAAGATTTTCTGTTTATTTCTCAACTGGTTTGTTTGACCACTAACAGAAGAGCAAAGCAAAACTAGCTGGTGTGGAATATATAATAATAATAATCCCTTGCATTTGATATAGCGCTTTTCATGCCTTATCGACATCTCAAAGCGCTTCACAAATATCCTGTAAAGTGAATTGATCGTATATTTGTGGGCGAAATGTGGCAGTCAATTGCGCACAGCAGTGTCCCACAAACAGTCATGGATTGAAAATAACCCAATTTATTATTGTTTTTGTTTTTTGGAGGGATTATTATCAGGCGTGTGGAGTAAGGAAACTTGCCCAAGGTTTCACCCTGCCTGTAATTGAACCCATATACTATATCACCAGTGATTTGATGAGCATTTGAAAGCTTTCTTTTGTTAAAAGTAAGGTCCTTTTTAGGGCTAAGCTGTGTTGTGTTTAAATACAGACCAAAAATTGACACAGTTACTGTTATGCTCAAATTATGCTGAAAACAATGGGAAGATTGATGATCAGGCAGCCATCGTATTAAAGGGCTTCAATGAGAAATAAATAAGGGTCCATTTATCACTTCATTTAATCATATTTATAATTTATAATGTGTGGTTAACGGGAGCTGGCATAAAACTCCTGTCTTGCTGCTGATCTAATGCATTGTTTTCTTTTGCCCCAGATTTATTATTGCAGTCGCACACACTCTCAGCTTGCTCAGTTTGTGCATGAGGTTCAGAAAAGTCCATTTGGCAAGGAGATCAGGATGGTGTCACTTGGTTCTAGGCAGGTATGCAATAAAAACATTCTTTGTTTGAGTCTTTCTGGAATGGCAGCAGTGATGAAAGGAACATGTCTACAAGGTAAAAGCCCTGTATCAGCAGAAGTCACTTGGAACATGCTCATTGCCTGTTCTCTGACGGGAATGACTTCTGGCACAAATAAATGATTCTTGACTAAATTGTACTCAAACTGGCATTTGAATTGAACTGCTCTGAATAGATTTGTTCATTGACTTCGACTGTTTTTCTGTTTTGAATTCTTCATCTTTAAGTGGCAGCACGAGAACTTTTAAGGCCATCTTTTCTGTTCTTAGATTTTGCACATTATCATACAGCACAACAACAAAATTACATGTCTATAGCACCTTTCATGTCGGGAGGACGTCCGAAGGCAGTGGACATTCAGTGTTTTGAACCCGAGCTGGGTGTCGGGATCGGGGAGGGTGGGGGGCAGGGGGATGAAGGAGGGTGACCGAAGGCACGGTAGAAGAGGACAGTCTTGAGACGGGTCTTGGAGGAGACGAGGGAGGAGGTGAGGTGGCGGGATGGAGTTCCAGAGGGTGGGGGCAGAGTGGCTGAAGGCCTGGCCGCCAGTGGTGGGGCGGGCGAGGCGAGGGATGTGAAGGAGGCCGGAGCCTGCTGAGCAGAGGGAACGGGCAGGTTGGTAGGAGGTCACAGAGATAGGGAGAAGCAAGGCCATGGACGGCTTTGAAGATGAGGACCAGGATCTTAAACTGTATCCTCTGAATGATGAGAAGCCAGTAGAATCGGGTGAGGATGGGGGTGATAGGATTGCGGAGCCTAGTGCGGGAGAGGACACGGGCTGCAGAGTTCTGGATGATCTGCAGCCTGTGGAGTGCGAGTTGGGGAGGCCGACAAGCAGGGAGTTTGTGTAGTCGAGCCTGGGTATGATGAACGCGTGGATAAGGTTCTCAGCGACCTGTAATGAGGGACAGTGGCGGAGCAATGTTGTGGAGATGGGGAAAGGTGGAGTGGGTCATGGCATGGATGTGGGATATAAAGGACTGTTGAAGGTTGAACAGTTAACCGAGGTTTCGTATTGGCTTCGTGAGGTGCAGAGTGCATCCATGAAGGATGATGATGTCAGTGCCCGAGGTATGGAAACGCTGAGGGAGCCAAGCAGAAGTGCCTATGTCTTATTGACATGCAGCTGGAGAAAGTTAGCTCTCATCCAGCACTTGATTTCCGACAGGGAGTCCGAGGACAGCAGTGGTCCTGGAGTCGAGGGTGGAGTTGGAGAGGTAGAGTTGGGTGTGTCATCTGCATACATGTGGAAGTTGACCCCATGTCTGCGGATGATGCCACCAAGGGGGAGCATGTAGATGTTGAAAAGGAGAGATTCAAGGGCAGAGCCCTGAGGGATGCCACACGCTACGGTACGGGGGCTGTGGGAGAAGCCATTATTGGCAACAAAGTGGAGACATTGGGAGAGGTAGGATTGGAATCAGGCTACGGCAGGTCCGCAAATATTGAACTGTGCTGAGAGGAGGTGTAGGAGGATAGAATGGTCAAAAGTGTCGAAGGCAGCAGAGAGGTCGAGGAGGACAAGGAGGTAGAGAGATACCTGGTTGCAGGTGTTCAGAATGTTGTTCGTGTCTTTGACCAGCATTGTTTCCGTGCTGTGGGCAACACGGAAACCAAATTGGAGGGGTTCAGAGAAGGAATGGTGGGAGAGGAAAGAGCGAAGCTGGGACGCTATGACTTGTTCCAGGGCCATGTTAGGTTGGAGATGGAGCAATAGCTGGAGAGTAGGGATGGGTCCAGGGAAGGTTTTTTGAAGATGGGGGTGATGATAGCTGTTTTTAGGGGGGTGGGAACAGTGCCAGTAGATAAGTAGAAGTTGAGAGGAGAGGCTTTTCTGTGATTATGGAATCGTGGATTCTGAATTTGAACCTGCTGCTTTCTGTTGCTGTCTCTGCAGGCATTTGGAAACTTATTGAATTCAGTAAGTTAAGTGGCAAACAGTTAGTAGCTTATCTGTAACAAATCTTTAAAACTTTCTCAGCATATGCAATATTTTGCCTTTTGTTTAAAACTTTCTCGTTGCCCCAAATTGGCGAGGACAGTGGAAATAAATGATAGTCCAGTAAAATACATTTTTGTAGTGAATTTTTGAGTATAGTTCATTTGAAACACAAGGAGAGGATATTATTTAAAAAGTAAGTAAAATCTTTTAAATAATTGGAGTTGTGTAATAATTGATTACTGTGGTTCATCATTATTCTGACCCTTTGTTGTTATTTAGGCCCATAACAAAACATTTGAAACACTAATTTTCTTTTCCTCCTTTTCATACCCTTCCCAAAGAACCTTTGTGTGAATGATGAGGTGCGACACCTGAAGTCAGCTCAGCAAATTAATGATCGGTGTCTGGAAATGCAGAGGAACAAGCGTGGTGAGCAGAGCTTTGTTCTAAAAATGTTTTGTGAATTTGTTTTGTTATTGAGAGTTTGTGCCTTTTAACATACTTATTTGGGTGCATTCTTTTAAGAATTTATTTTTCAGTACCCAGGTTTGCGAATTGGAACAAGAGGCTATTACTAGAAGTGTAAAAGGGAGAAAGTAGAATATTTTTGTACAGATGGTTGAGGATGTGGAACACTTTACCACAAGTAGCTCTTGGCCCTGAGATAATTTATACTATTTATACTATTTAAATAGGAATTAGATAAGCACCTCAAGATGAAAGATATAAAGTAAAAGAACAGAATTAACAGTGAGCAAGCATGGCAAAGGCATAGTGACCTAAATAGTGTCCTTCTGTGCTGAAATTTCCATGAGCCCATAATTTGTATTTTCTGTAGCTCATTTTATCAGCACTGAATGCTTTACGCCAAATAATCATAAAGCTTTAGGAAAATAAACAAACAATTCTGATGGTGAGATTCTTTCCTTAAGTATCTACTGTGGAATTATCAATAATTAACTGAACAAAAACAATCTCTGTGAAAGCTATAGACTTTAAAAACTAACAATAATTTAGTCACTCAACCCACGACTGTTTGTGGGACACTGCTGTGCGCAATTGGCTGCGGATTTCACCAGTATACTCTGAAGTGCTTTGAGACGTCTAGAAGACGTGAAAAAGCGCTATATCAAATCCAAGGATTATTATTATTATTATTATTCGTTCACCTCAATTAGGTGAATTTTAACAGCCAGCAGAGGGAGTGTTGTAGCCAAGTGAAGAGAAAGGAGAAACTCTTCAATTGGACTTTAAATGGTCTCAAAACTCCTGAGACTTCTTTGTATCAATCATAATTTCTGTGAGTTAGGTAACAACAGAGCAGTGAAATAAGGGAATCTAGTCTGTTGATTGTGCTGTATCTTTAGTTCGTATCTGTAGTGAGGAGCATGGCAGAGAAGGAAATGCAGTTCAATAGCTAGCCAATGCAGAAAGACAAAAGGTGATAGATACATATTTTTATAAGAAGTTGCTTCTGGCTGGTCAGAAGATCATTTATTTCACAGCTTGAATAATTAAATGCCTATCCTGTTAAATGTTTAGCATTTCATCTTGTTCAACCAATGCCATCACTCGATTAACATTTGCGTTGTTGAGCAACTTGAAAGGATCTCACTGCTTTGTCTCAATGCTCTTAAAAGCAAATCTGGTATTTCCTGAATGTTAAGATCAATGAATGTCATTACTGTCATTCATGGCGCTTTGTATTAATTGACAGGCTTGTGTTTGATTTATTTGCAGCTGTTAAGAAGCAGAGTGAGGAAGATGAAGAGACACCAAAACGGAAGCGTGAGAGTCGAGCCGTCTGTCCGTTTTACACCTATGAGCAGATGCAATTTTTGCGGGATGAGGTCCTTGTTGAAGTGAAGGATATTGAGCAGCTGGTATCTCTGGGAAAGGAAATTAAGGCATGTCCATATTATGGGAGCCGCTTCGCCATTCCCCCAGCACAGGTATGAGATGGTTCTCCAGTGCAATGCTTGGAGAAGGAGTGAAGTAAGAGTGTATTCTTCAGTGTGATGTTGTCAACAGCATAAATTTAATCTGAAACACAGCTGTATTTATTATTTAGAGTTATTCTCTTTGTTTAAACGGAACGTTTAACACTTTTCTGCACCTTAAAATCCAATCAGTCTATTTCCCCAGTCCAGAAGATTGTGGAATTTACTAGTTTAATGCTCCATCCCCTGCAGCAGAAAGTTTTATACTTGAGGCAATCCAGTATTAAGAAGCACTGAAATGCTTAGTTTACTGAGTACAGGACAATTCCAACAGCAACAATATTACATTTGTAAAGCGCCTTTCACGTAGGGAGGATGTCCCAAGGCGCTGGATTACAGAACCCACAGTTATAGCATAGCCTTGCATATATTATAGCGCTGGTTTTCTATGGATTCACGCTAACGAGAGGCATGGCAAACCCACCTTCAAGGTCATCAATAACAACAAAATTACATTTGTATAACCCCTTTCACATTGGAAGGGTGTCCCAAGGTGCTGGACAATCAGTGTTTCGGACGCTAGCTGGGGATCGGGATCAGGGATGGTGGGGGGCAAGAGGGGAAGGAGGGTGACCGAAAACACGGTTGAAGAGGGTCTTCAGACGGATCTTGAAGGAGGCAAGGGAGGGGACGAGGAGGAGAGACTGCTGGATGGAGTTCCAGAGGGTGGGAACAGTGTGACTGAAGGCCTGCCTGCCAATGGAAAGTGGATCAGGTTGATAATGATGTTGCTTCATGTGCCCCATGCACACTGCACAGAAAATCTTGCTGTGTTTTGAAGGTCATTGCTAGTTACAGCAAGTTGAATCTTTTGCGTCATTACTCTTTGATGAGCAAAATGTGCATATCGGTTTGCACATAAGCAAGTAAACAAAAAACATCGAACACAGATGTGTGTATGTGTGTTTTTGTGTGTGTGTGTGTGTGTGTGTCTGCGCATGCTATCTGATGCAATTGTTACTGTTTTGAGAAATATCTGTCCAAATTGATTCAGAATGGTTCATTTCAGTGTGTTAATGAATGTGCGTAAGGGTTTTAGTCTCACAGTACACTGGTTAAGCACAAGGTTTGTTTTTAAGTCTGGGGAAATGAGGTCTCTTTCACCTTAGAATTTCTCAAAAAATTGTTTTTTTTCTGACAGCTGGTGGTGATGCCTTATCAGATGCTGCTCCACAGTTCCACCAGGCGTGCCTCTGGGATCAAACTGAAAGACCAAATCGTAGTGATTGATGAAGCTCACAATTTAATTGATACCATCAGTTGCATTTATAGCTGTGAGGTAACTGGAACACAGGTGAGTGTGCAGATGTTCAGGCTTTAAAGAAAATATAATGTTAGGGGTTGTGAAGCCTAACTGACACTAACTGACAACAACAACAACAACAATATTACATTTGTATAACATCAACATCTTGGATTTATATAGCGCCCTCCACACTGGATGCTTCTCAGAGCGCTTCACAGTGATGGATCCCGGGGCCGAGCCAGGGGGAGGGGGAGGAAGGTGACCAAAGGCGCGGTCGAAAAGAAAGGTCTTCAGCCGAGACCTGAAAATAGGAAGAGAGGGGGCGAGGCAAAGGGAGTGAGGAAGGGAGTTCCAGAGACTCAGGGCGTAGTGGTTAAAGGCACTGCCGCCGATTCGGGGGATAAGGAGGAGGCCAGACCCAGTGGAGTGAAGGCAACGGGCACTGTTTTGAGGAGAGAGGAGGTCAGAGAGGTTGGGGGGGTGCAGAGGAGTGGAGAGAATTGAAGACAAGGGTGAGGATCTTGAAGTCGATCCTCTCTGCGACAGGCAGCCAGTGCAGTCTGGCAAGGACTGGGGTAATTGGGGAGCGGAGTTTAATACAGGTAACAATGCGGGCGACAAAGTTTTGTATGACCTGGATTTTGTGAATAATAGTGGAGGGGAGATCGGCGAGGAAGGCATTAAAATAGTCCAGCCAAGAGGTGACAAAGGCATGGACCAGGGTTTCAGCGGCTTTTGGAGTGAGGTATTGGCGGAGACGGGCGATGCGTCGGAGGTAGAAGAAAGCGTTGGTGAGGGACCGGTTGTGGCGGAGGTAGGATAATTGGAGGTCGAACCTGATGCCTCGGTTGTGTACAGGTTCGGAGAGTTTTAGGGGGAGGTTGGGTAGGTGGAGGAGGTGAGAACCATGTGATTTTAGACATTGACGAGAGCCAAAGAGTATGGCTTCTGTCTTGTCAACATTCAGCTGAGGGAAATTCGCACTCATCCAGCTCCTGATGTCTGACAGGCAGGCTGACAGAACATCAGGGGACTGGGGGTCGCAATGTTAGGTGGAAAAATAGAGTTGGGTGTCATTCGCATACATGTGGAAGTGTACCCCATGTCTGCGGATGACATCCCCAAGTGGGAGCATGTAGATCAGAGAGAGGAGGTGGCCAAGGATGGATACTTGGGGTACCCCGCAGGTAACCGGGTGAGAGCGGGAGGAAAAGCCATTTGTGCAGATGTCCTGCTGGCGGTTCGTGAGGTAGGATTTGTTTAGCGCCTTTCACATTGGATAGATATCCCAAGGCACTGGACAGTGTACAGCATTTCAGACCTGAGCTGGGGTCAGGGAAGGGAGGGGAAGGGGGGGTGACCAATGACATGGTCGAAGAGGAGGATTTTGAGGCAGGACTTAAAGGAGGCTAAGGAGAAGGGCGAGACAGAGTGATTGGGGGATGGAATTCCAGAGATTGGGGGCAGAGTGGCTGAAGGCTCTTCCACCAATGGTGGGGCGGGTGAGTTGGGGGACGTGGAGCAGGCCGGAGCTGGCTGAGCGGAGGGAGTGGGCAGGTTGGTAGGGGGTTAGGAGGTCGCAGAGATAGGGTGGGGCGAGGCCATGGAGGGCTTTGTAGGTGAGGACCAGGATCTTGAACTGGATCCTCTGAAGGATAGGGAGCCAATGGAGTTGGGCAAGAATGGGGAGATGGGGTCACGGAGTTTGGTGCGGGAGAGGACATGGGCTGCAGAGTTCTGGATTATCTGCAGCCTATGGAAGAAGGAGTTGGGAAGGCTGACAAGCAGCGCGTTTACATAGTCGTGCCTGGAAGTGATGAAGGCATGAACAAGAGTTTCAGCGGCCTGAGGGGTGAGGTAGTGATGGAGTCGGGCAATGTTACGGAGCTGAGGGAAGGCTGAGCGGGTCATGGCTTGGATATGGGGAAGAAAAGACAGTTGAGGGTTGAACAAGACACCTAGGTTCCTGACTGGCTTGGTGAGTTGAAGTGTCCAACCATGGAGGTTGATGCTGCCAGAGCCTGAGGTGCAGAGGCGCTAGTGCGAGCCAATCAGGAGGGCCTCAGTCTTGTTCACATTCAACTGTAGGAAATTTGCCCTCGTCCAGGACTTGATCTCTGACAGGTCTTCCTTTTCGACCGCGCCTTTTTTCACCTTCCTCCCCCTCCCCCTGGCTGTCAGGACAGTTGTGGTCCTGGAGTTGAGGGTGGAGGCAGAAAGATAGAGTTGGGTGTCATCCGCATACATATGGAAGTTGACCCCATGTCTGCGGATGATGTCACTAAGTGGGAGCATGTAGATATTAAAGAGGAGAGGGCCAAGGACAGAGCCCTGGGGGACGCCAGACGTGACAGTGCGGGGTCTGGAGGAGAAACCGTTAGAGGCAACAAAGTGGAGGCAGTGAGAGAGATAGGATTCAATCCAGGCAAGGGCAGGTCTGCGAAGATTAAGTAAAGAGGAGGGGCAGTGTATGAGGATGGAGTAGTCAAGTGTCGAAGGCAGCAGAGAGGTTGAGGAGGACAAGGAGGCAGAGGGAACCCTGATCACAGATGTTCAGAATGTCATTAGTGACTTTGACCAGGGCTGTTCCATGCTGTCGGCAGCGCGGAAGCCGGATTGGAGGGGTTCAAAGAGGGAATGGTGAGAAAGAAAGGAGTAGAGCTGGGACGCGACGGCTCGCGTGACCTTGAATATTGAACTGACACATGAATATTAAACATCCATGAATGAATCGTGCCAAAGACCTGGATTGGAAACCTGGATCGGTATCAGTCTGCATTTGCACTTCAGTGTTACAAATTGCTTTCCTGGCAAAACCTCTTCAAGATGATTTTGGTTGATGGTTTTCAGCATGATTCACTTGTAAATGGCAAATGTGATTCATACTGTATTTTTAGTATCAATTCGGTACTATTTGTTTTTGCTTTGGTCAGCCAGGTTTCTGATACTTGCGGAAATATGACACCATGTTTAAGAATATCGAAACCAGGCTGAGAGTTCCATGCATGCTCTTTCAGATGGAAATTTCTGTGTTTGGAATGGAATGTGCACTCTCTCCCCAGAGGGACATACCCTGTTTATCTAATTCCAGAGAATATAAGGTGCAAGTTGGGAAGGACCAAGGATTGGGCACTTCAGAGTATACATTGGGGTGTAGCTGGAGTTAAACCAGCTAAAACCACATAGCTTGCCATTGAAAACCCTGTCTTGCAAGCTTCCTGTTGCTTGTCCAGTTAGGGCTGCATTATTAATAGTGCAATAATGAAGTTTTTTTTATTTTTCAGTTGTGCTGCGCTCACTCCCAGCTTTCCCAGTATATGGAACGGTACAGGTAAAGTCTGATTCAAATCCTGTTCTTTTGTAATTGTGGGGTTCCGCTCTGTCTGTCAAACCGTTTATAGATCTTATTACAAACATCAAATTAGAAATCCTCGAATTTGTCAATTCTTTAAATCCTCAAAAGTTCAGTGGTGATGTATTATGTTTGAAAGCAGACCACAACAACAACAACAAGATTCCATTTATAGAGCGCCTTTCACTTCGGGAGGACGACCCAACCTTATTGGGAAGGATCTGACATGAATGGTATATTCTGGCCCAGTTATAACAGAATTGTATATGGTGGCGTTCTGTTTATAGTGCAGGTAGACTATAGTCCTGCAGTATTCCAGAGGTGTAGTTAGCTTCTGCTGTTAACAGTTTGGCTTCCTTCATACTTGTACAGGAAGTTGGCCAGTCAGCCCAGACTATTTTTATAATAGGAGTCAGCTCAGTGGTTAGAGCACTCGCTTTGCAAGTGAGAGACCTGGGTTCAATTCCAGGCAGGGCGAAACCTCGGGCAAGTTTCCTTACTCCACACGCCTAATAATAATCCCTCCAAAACCAAAAACAATAATAAATTGGTCATTTTCAATTCTACGACTGTTTGTGGGACATTGCTGTGCGCAATTGGCTGCCGCGTTCGCCCACAAATATACAGTCAATTCACTTTACAGTGTGATCTGTGAAGCGCTTTGGGACGTCCTCCCGACGTGAAAAGCGCTATATCAAATGCAAGGATTATTATTATTATAAACATTTCTAATAATAATAATTATTGTTATTGGTTTAATGTCTTGTCTTTCAGATGAGATCTTAAACCAAGGTCCCACCTTGCTTGTTCAGGTGGACATTTGGGCTCAAGGCCCAAATCAGCCCTGAACTGTCACACCCACAAGGCCATCTCCAGGTGTGGTGAAGCCGATGATAGAAATAAAAAAATCGCTATTTAAAAAGAGAAAGGAGCCTCTTCTGGGTTCCTGGCCAACAATTCTCCAGTGATTTGATCATTCCACCTTGTTTGTGAGGCAATGATGTGGCTCTTTATGGGACACTGTTGTGTGAAATTAGCTGCAGCTCTCCAACAAATAATGAGAAAATCTGTTAACCGCTTTGAGACCTGTTAATTTGATAAGATGCTATAACATATGTAAGGATAGTTATTCCTTAGCTTTCTCAGTGCTACCCTCTGTATAAATGAGGCCTGTCTGCCACCCTGTTCCCGATTTCCAGCACATAATTTGTACTTGTGTGTTTTTGTGTGGCTTTTATGAAATTCTACACCTTATTTCCAAGCTATGTTTTTTAAATTTTCTCCCCAAGAATTAATTATTTTCAACAGAATTAATTATTTTCAACACAGAATGAGCTTTGCAAATTGAATAGCTGATACTTGTTTGTCGTGTCCAAATTGTGTCTGTTCTTGGTCTATTTTGCATACTTTGAACAAATACCATTTGTGCACAATTTTGTCCTTTTGGTTGGTGGATGCAGTCAGGCTGGTTGAAGAAAATAAATCAAATGCTGTCATGGCCAGTTGAAAGGATGTAAACTCTTGGTTCATTGTCAGACAATGCTGATACATATTTTTCTACCAATAAACAGGACCAGGCTGAAAGCAAAAAACCTGATGTACATCAAACAGATCCTTTACATCCTTGTTCATTTAATTAGAATCTTAGGAGGTGAGTTCATTGATGTTCTTCTGCAGTGTTTGAATGGGAAATTATTGGCTCTTATAGGAATTGGGTACTTTTTAAATCATCACTTTTTTCAAACTCAGGATGAACTGAATATGGTGCAGAATAGAAATATTTCTTCTGTGTTGCAGGAAAAGTTGGACAGAATCCTAACACTCAGACGGTTTCACAGGGAGGTAAGAAACTGAACTTTTAAACAATTTTGAATATTCAGTGCTAGGAATTTTGAATATTTTTTTTAAAAGTTTTTTTTTAGCAATGTGTACTCAGTGCACATTACACTTCCGTATTTCACACCTCTAACCTGCCTTTCTTTCCAAAGTAATGAAATGTGGGATTTTTTCCCAACTATGTTCCTACCTCTCCCACCATTACCTGTTTACTGCTACTACTGTAATTGACCACGTTGGGTTGTCACGACCTCCACGTCAACCAATCGCGCTCAATACCCGAAGCGCCCTGAGGCTCAAGGCCCAAATCAGCCTTGAACTGTCACACCCACAAGGCCATCTCCAGGTGTGGTGAAGCCGATGACAGAAATAAAAATGATGGAGATGGGAGCTCATTTGGAGGCTTGAAAGCAGCTTTGAGTCTAACCTGGAATTCAAATCTGAGCATCAGGCATTGGCGGCGTTGTTAGCCTTTCGGTGGCGGAAGAACCTGAACCGGCCAACAGCATCGACTGGCGGAGGGGGATGGCAAAGCACTTGCTCCAAGCGAAGAACTAACGCCTCCGACCTTGCTTCACGTTCTTTCTGTCCGAAAAGAACAAAGTATCAAGAGACATCCTCCAGCTCAACAATTATTGACGCACAAGTAGAAGCCCTGTGACAACGAGCGAATAGTGAAACAACAAGTACAGTTGGTACTGGAAATCGCCACAAGTAGCTTGCTCACAGGCGACTTGGGAATTTGGTCATCTTGCTGATGAACTGAGATATCATCAAAACCTGGCAACATCCTTGGTGACCAAGCAGCCCTTTTCAGGGACAGCACTGCTTGCCTCAATCTGGGGAGGGGCCTCGAAAAACTGGCCTAAAAATTGCTCAACTCATTCTGACCTGGTCGGAACGAGTGTATTGGGTGACCATTGCCCGTCTGATGGAGACAAGTTACCTAAAAGTGACAATTGTCGAGTTGAGGGTTACACCCCTATCTACGCGGGGGAGGATGACTGCACTCAAGAGGTGGCCTTATTGCTTGACAGTCCTTCAAAGTGCATGCTGATGTCATGGTGACCCGTATCTGTCTGCTTGCTGCACACCAGACTGAGGCAGCAACGAAAACCACACTAATTGTCGCCTACGCTCCTATGAAAGAAACCTCAGATGGATAGAAGGAATCATTCTACACTCAGATGGAGCTGCTCATTTTGTCTGCTTTGCTGCACAACCAGCTATTGATTTTTGGTGATCTGAACGCCACGTGTGACTTGGATTGTACTGGGTTTGAGAGGCTGGTGGGTGGTTTGGGCTCGGGCACAATGAACTACAACTCCCTCCACATCCTCTCTCTATGTTCAGCTTAAAAGCTCTTAGTTCCAAAGGAAGAACATGCACCGATTCACTATTTGTTTGAGACCCTTCAATCCAGTTTGCGACTTATCCAGAGCAATGTGACAATGCTGATCAAAGTTACAAACTTAGTTTGGCTTGTGATTGGGACTTCCTGCACCTGCTTAATCTCCTTAAGGTGGTCCTAGCTGGACAAGCAGCAGGAAGGCTTGCTGGACAGCAATATCAATGGCAAGTTATGCGGTTATAACTGGTTAGACTCCAGCATTACCCCAACACTCACTCTAGGGTCCACAAGCCTTGACTCTTGCTAACCTTCGCCTAATACTTTCTGGAATTAGGTAAACAGGATGCGTTCACCCCAGGAGAGAGAGTGCATTCCATTCCAACAATCTATCTGGGATTTCCATGTGTAGGTGGGATGCATGGAAATCTCAGCTTGGTTTGTATATTCTTAAGCACCAATATTCTTTTGCCTTGTTTTTTTTTCAAAACTCTTTTGAAACCTCTCACCTGTTTTGCCTTAATCTTTTTTTGTTCTCATCTACCCTTTTGTACTTTTGCTGAAACTTGAAAAAAGTAACAAGGAAAGCTTGAATGTTTGGCGACTTAAAATTTTTGTGAATATCTGGTTCTTTATAATTACAGCATTCAGCTTGCCATTATGTTAATATGATTCTCTTAATTAATATATATTGTTAATTAATTCATGGTTAAAAAATTGTTTAATAGTTTGTTTACATAAAAAAAAAACTTCACTTTTTTCTGAAAGGCACTGAACTTCAATCCATCAATGATTTCTTGTTTCGAACTCAATTTGACAACATCAATCTCTTCAAAGTAAGTGTTTATGAATGCAGCACAGATAGACTCATTTTTAATATTCGGTTGTCATTGTGTATAAATATGCATTTTTTACATTTTTTCATCACATAATCTGCCCATCTGATTGAGATGTTTAACGAAATGAAGGGATTTGAAAAGTTGGACTCTTCACTTTCCTCTGGTAGAGGGATCCAAACCAAAGGGACATAACTTTTCAATTAGAGCTAGAATGGCTTGAAGTTAGGTCAGAAAACATTTTTTTACAGAGAGTGGTGAAAATGTAGAGCACACGGCTCCAGGATTCTATAGAAGTTGAATTAATTGGGAATTTTAAAGTGAGATATGTAAAAGTAAGGGTATTAATTAGAATGGAGAATAGGTAGGGCAATAACATTAAAAGAATTGTCTTGATCTAATGGATGGGGAGTAGGCTTCACAGGCTGAATGGTCTTCTGTACTTCTGGTTGTAAAGCATTGGTGACTGTCAGTGCTCCTGTTTGAGAAAAGACCATAAAACATGCGAGTGGCACAAATTATAAATTGGTTCTCCCTGTGGCAGGCAGGAATTGCTCCAGCAACTGGTATGCATGCACCTCCAGCCCTATTGAAATAACTAATTCATCACCTAAGGAATTGTGGGGATTGATTCCACGCATTACTAGTTTTTTTTATGGACATGTTGTAATCCTTTCATACAAAGCTAAGTAGAAATTTGCAATTCTGAGATGAAGAGAGTTGTCTTATGACACGTGGATATTTTGGCAGCCGCGCCTCAGCTTTGGCAGGGTTAATCAATGGTCGGTGAAATTGTAAATGAGCCACTACATTTTCCTTTATACACACAACATGGATCCCTTAACTGGTACTGAATTGTTGTAATTAAGGACAAACTGTGTTCTAGGAGCGTAACTTACCTCTCTGGATTGCTTGCCTTATAATGTGTTGGCATGGCTGTGGGGAAGGAAGGTCTGACAGGTGCATTTGAGGGTAATGGACTGCATCATGGTCTCAACATGCTCTTCTCGCAGATTAAAGTTCTCAATATAAAACCTGGCTGAAAAAATTCATATTTGGATCATGCACCTTTGTGTTCATGCTTACACATGTGTACTGTAAACTGAACACATCTTCGTGCCATGGCAGAGAAATTGGGAAAGCAATGATGTTGATGGGCAACCAGGCTTCTTCTGTCCATCATCTGATTTGATTGAAACCATTATAATAATGGCAAGCAAAGCATTGTATAGTGTGTAACTGAACCTTCCATGCATTTTTCACAACTCATGTACTCAGAATATGGATTTCTTTAAAAGCTTGCTACAATTTTTTGAGATATATGCAGTTTAATTCACATTGCTAGTGGGCAACGTATGTGTGACTGTCAAGTGTCCCAACGTGCTTAGCTTTGTTATGTCTCCATTAACAGGTGCAACATTACTATGAGAAAAGCATGCTCAGTCAAAAGGTAAGAATTTGTTGATGATCACTGTTCAGAATGCTGGACTAACTCTCAGGCAAATTGGCACACATCTTCAATCTGTTGTGTAAACCGACACATCCCTGGTCCTTAAACTATTGAAAGATATGTGGAAGAATTTCTTAGCTGTATCACCTCATTTTTCAGTATAGCTAAATATTGTGGTCCTCACTCAGTACTTATGAACAAGAGAATTTTTTTTTGAGAATGTTGGAAATTGAAAAGTTGTTGCAGTTAAATCTTCTGCGAGTGCTTCAGGTGTTGCTATTAAGGAAGAAAAAATTAGGTCAGTAAACCAAATCGGAAACAGTTATGTACACTTACGTGTCTGAAGTAAATAGAAAATGGACTGGAGGTCAACCAGTAAAATAGTTACAAGAGAATTTGAATCTTGAAACAAGTTGCCTCGCTTCCCCCTCTCCTCCAACCACAAGTATTTAATACGCTATACTGTAATTTATTTTAATAATTCACAGAATTGTAGCGTGTCTGTAGAATAAGCAGTCGTATTTACATTCATGTTTGACACAGATGGATGCTATGCTTGTGTGTTCGATTGGTTTCATTTATTTCTACAGTTGTTTGGCTTTGTGGAGAAGTACCAGGTCGCAGCTGTCAAGCCAGTCGACAAAGAGAATGAAAAGAAACCTAAGACAGCTGCTCTGGACAATTTTCTTCAATCGCTCAATCAGAAAGCTAGTGGGCAAGGCAAGTTCACCTCCAAAATGGTTGTTATCTAGTCCTTTGCACAGTAATTTCTCGTGGACTGTTGTGTAAATTGGCACAACTTGCTTGATGGGCCGAATAGGTTTCTTGTGTAATTTCCGTGAATCAACAGTAGAGCCAGTAAACCGCACTAACTGGGACTGATTTAGAAACAGTGTGTATAATTGGTCATCATCCAAATTTCAAATTGGCTACAGTACTAACCAGACCCTTCTTGTATCAGGTGTTATACTGTCACCACACTGTACTAACCTAACTCTCCTCTCTGATTCGGTCTTTCGAACTGATAATCTTTCTATTCTTTCTCTGACTTCCTCTTTCTTTCTCACCAACTCTCAAACATTTTATCCATCTATCTTCTTAGTATCTTACTCTCCGTGCCTGCTTAATCTTGGATGTGCCATGTTTAATTCCTGATGTTTCTAATTTTCCTTACCTTAAGTGCTGAATAAATTCAGTTACAACAATCATAGTTACACAGCGCAAAGCTGGAAGTAACTTCAGTGACGACCTAATGAGATGGAATTCAGTCATTTTAGAATGAATGCTGTTCAGTGCTCTGGGTGAGTTGGCTGGCTTGTTTACATGTGCAGGGAACGGGAACCATACTACATTGTGTTTTAACCAAACTCACAGCTTAAATAAACACTTTTAACGGCAAATCATTATCCTTACCAGTTGCACCAGTTTTGCTATTGAAGATAGTTGGGGATGATATTGTTTGGTTCATTCAGGAAAAATAGTTTCTAAAGGTCAGATTGCAACTGAAGTAAAATAAGCAATTCTGCAGTTTGGTTGTAGTCCAAGAACTAATAATTTAGTTTGAGGCCAGGACACTGCGACTCATTTAAAAAAACAACTTGATGCTATGATGGGAAGACAGTAGATTGGGTGTTGTGGAATGATGAGATCAGATAGGCCGAATGGCCTTTTTCATACAAATCAATTCCTTGCATTTGGTATACAAAACATTTTCCATCATGAGCATGCCACAAGAACTCACTGTAAAGTGTGGTGACTGTATCTTATAAGCGAAAACAGCCAATTTGTGCACCTAAATGGCCCACCAACAACCATGTATGACCAATTTTATCTGCAGAATTGTTAGCCAGTGCATCATCCTTTCGAATACTGGCAAGGGATCTGAATAAGCAGACGGAATCTTTATTTAACATCTCATCTGATGGATGACACTTCCAACAATGTAGTGCATACCTCCAGCACTACATTGGAACGTCAGCTTGGACAATTTGAATTCAAAGTGCCATGGAGGTTAAACACAACAATGACTTGCATTTATATAGCGCCCTTCACTCAGGACGACGTCTTGGAGTGCTTAACAATGGCGGAGCCCGATGCCGAGCCAGGGGGAGGGGGAAGGTAACTGTAGGTATAGTCGAAGAGGAAAGTCTTTAAGCGTGACCTGCAAAGTGTGAGAGAGGGGGCAAGGTGAAGGGATTGAGGAAGGGAATTCTACAGCTTTGGGGCGCAGTGGCTGAAAGCACGGTCACCGATGGTGGGGCGGAAGGTCTGTGGGAAAAGGAGGAGGCCAGAGCCAGTTGAGCAGAGGCAGCGGGTAGTAGTGTAACACACAGCCTTCCGACTCAGAAGTAAGGGTTCCTGTTAATGTGCTTTTATCAATTTATTTACTTATGAATTGCAGTGACACCCCAAACGCAGGGGGAGGCGATGGAGAATGAACAGCCTGCCATGGCTTCACCGATGATGAAGGTTGAGGGGTTTATTTTTGCTCTGACAAATGCAAACAAGGATGGACGTGTGCTTATTCAAAGGCAAGGTGAGAATCTTTGTGCCAGTGTTTCAGCAGTGTTTATTTTTGAGGGAAAGATCTTATTTTCAATATTTTTCATACTGCTGCTTTGCAAAAATTAGAGATAGTGTAGATATGTTTTTAAGACAAATATTCTGACGAGTTTATAAATAGATGCAAGCGGAGACCATAATGGATTATATTGCACATGATATGTAGAAGTAGCAGATGGGATGGCCGTTTCTGATTTAATATTTTCTAAATATCTGTGTCTTATATAACCTGCATTATAATTAGTCTTTAGTCTCAGAAGGATAGGAGCAAAGAATACTATCTGAATACTAGTATTTTGCCTGGCAGAATTGGAATATAAATATTTCAAATTCATGCATTTTGACACAATTCTGGTGAGACAAATGGATTTTTCATTTCTATTAATCAGTTCATGTCTGCAAAGTGAGTTGACTCTTTCACGCTCTTAAACCACCACTATCAGCATCTGTTCACACTTGGTGTGACATTCTTTGTTTCTCTGAACACCCATAATTCATTATCTAATTTCTCCTCTTTAGTGAATTGCAGATTAAAGGCAAGCATCCTATTTCAGTTGACATCTCATTTAGACCTGAATTCAGAAAAACATAATTTCTTGCTTGTGGTGTGTAGCTAGAGGCAGGAGAATGGGCAGATCAGCTGAAGTCAGATGTAATTCGTTGCTCATCTTTATCTTCTGTAGGTACAGTGGCTCATAGCAGCCTAAAGTTCCTCTTGCTGAATCCAGCAGTCTATTTTGCTGAAATTGTGAAAGAATGCCGAGCCATTGTCGTTGCGGGAGGCACCATGCAACCGGTGAGACTTTTGCACAAATAATGATATGAGTTACCAAATCTAAATATTTTACTATTTCAACTGTTACTTATTCCATAATTGATTGTATTGGTAGGTGGCAGAGTTCAAGGACCAGCTGTTGTTAGCATCGGGTATCTCTGCAGACAGAATCTCAGAATTTACATGTGGTAAGCCCCACCTGATCTGCTTTATTCACTATATGTGAAGTATAATTTGTGTAGGTACGTTAATATGACAGCAGACTGAAGCACATTAGGTTGTCTTACTCAGTTTAAAATAATTATAATTTTTACTGGGCTGTGGGTATCAATCCATCTTAAAGTGGTGAAGCAGTCGCATTGTCTCAATATACTGCATTTGCAAACCTATGTGTGCAGTGACTGGTCACGGTATAGATATGAGGCAAGAGGTAATAGGTTATTTCAATGACACAAAGCCACTTAAAAAAAGTATACAAAAGATTAGAATAGAAGTGAAGTGCTTTTTTTTCTTTCTAAAACCTTCAACTTGTGTCTTTTTCTAAGTTCTGCGGGAGTGTTGAAATGAAGGTTAAGAATTTGGTTTGGAGCTTTATTTGAAATGACACTTGAACATTTTTGCTCAGAACTTGAAGCTGTACTCTGGAATGTTGGGTTCATTTTTTTTTTGGAGAGACACAGATTAGAGATGAGTTGTTTCCTGAAAGGTTTAGATGAAAAACTTGTACAGGGTTCAGGAATGGTTCAAGAGCAGGTTTTAAACCTGTTTACTTTCTTCCGAAGAATGGTAACTAATGGCAAAGAATAAAGTAAGAGTCTTTGTTTTCTAAGAGATATTGGTGGATTTCAGAAAATATTTGTTGCTGTGTGTGAAGTCTTCATTTTATGTTTGGCACTCTGCTCACAAAATGTTTTAGGTCATGTGATTCCACCAGAAAATATCTTGCCCTTAATCCTGTGCAATGGTCCATCCGGGCACCAGCTTGAATTCACCTACCAGAAGAGGGACAAGCCACTGCTGGTGGGTACTTTAGTTCTGTTAGATTTTCACCGTTGTGTCTCAGGTCATAGAATTATTTGAGAAAATAACTTTTCAAATGAAAATTTTCTGTAGAAGCAGGATCTATTTTGCAATTGAAAAATGAAGGCAAATTAAGTTTCTCCATAGGGCTTTTAAGTAGCCTTGTGAACTGCTGGAATAAAAACTGGGACTTGCATGTTCTGTGAATCCTAAGAATACATTTATGTGAGTTGTAGATTGGGCATTAGTTTAGGCTTGAAGCTACCTGTTTATCCACATCTGGTTTCTGTTTAAAAAAAAATCAAGTTATATTTTCCATTTTCCCTATTTATCTTACTTCATATCCTAAAACCACACAGTTTACTTTTGGGAGCTTGTCCAGGTAGAACCACTCTATCAATGAGGACTTTGGCTTGCAGCATTTAAAGGAGCTGCATGGGAAGAATCCCTGTTCCCACTGACCTTTATATATTCCACAGCATTTTTCCCCAATCGGGTTTTAGCTCAGATTTTTGAATACTTCAACAAATAAAATTAAACATTAAGCCTTACAGGAAAAGAAAGGTTGAGAAATAATAGTTTAAAATGCTAATTACTCTCAAAGGATAAAATGCATGATATTAAAATTTAAAGTATTTTAGTGCTTCATGTAGAAATCTTATGTGTTTAAACGAGTGTTAATCATGATGAAATGATCTTCCTGCTATACTATTTCTCCCTCAAGTCATCTAAATGTCAATTTCCATCCTTGTATTTGAGACTGTGTTCCTTCCTATGTCCATTAGTTAGTTATTGTTTGAGGGGGGAAAAAATCCTTGTCTGAGTCTGTGAATAAGTTGTCCACAGCATTAATCCTGTCCACTGATCAGTGGAAATGCACCATTATTATATTTGTTCATTCATTGAACAGAATCAATTTGCTTAATTGGCAGATGGATGAAACTGCCCGGATCGTGTCCAATCTCTGCAATGTGGTTCCTGGTGGGATTGTGTGTTTCTTTCCCTCGTATGAGTATGAAAAGCAGGTGTATGCACATTGGGAGAAGACTGGTGTATTGGCACAGCTAGAAACAAAAAAGAAGGCAAGTATCTAATCATATCCATATTGTGCAGTGATTTGGGTTGGTTTTCCAGTCATTCCAATGGAGTCCTGTAGCTCAGTGGTTCAAACACTCGCCTTGCAAACAAGAGACCTAGGTTCGATTTCCGGCAGGGTGAAAGCTTGGCCAAATTTCTTTACTCCACACGCCTGATAAGAATCTCTCAAGAAAATAAAAATAAAGAAAAATAATAATTTGGTCACTCAATCCACGACTGTTTATGGGACATTGCTGTGCGCAATTAGTTGCTGCGTTTTGCCAATAAATATTACAGTCAATTTACTTTACAGTATATTCTTTGAAGCGCTTTGAGACGTCTCGAAGACTTGAAAAGCGCTATAGCAAAATGCAAGGATTATTTTATTTTGATAATCACTTTCATTTTTTACATGAGGAACATTCCAAGATTTGAAGCAGCAATTTCCCAATATCCCCTTTTAAAAACTTAGTTGTTCGATTCTACTGAACAAAACTTTTCAAAGTCTTATTTTCAATGCTACCACCTGTTCCACTGCTCTTTGTGCTACCAGTAGGAAGAGAATGGGATACCCATTAGCATTGTTGTTTATCTTGTTGACAGTTGTCTGATCAGAATTTATGTATGCTACGGATTTGTGTCTGGGTTGATTGCAAATGATGTATGGTGTGAAAGTACTTCTCTTTTATGAGTTTATTTCTGTGAAACATCATTGCAAATGCAAACAAAAAATTATAAGAACTCTTAGCGATCTTACAAACATTTTAAGTAAGCATTTTTTGCTTTAAACAAGAGAGAAGATATTGAGGCCGTTCAGGTTACAACAACAACAGAATTACATTTGTATAGTGCCTTTCACATCGGGAGGACGTCCTGAGGCGCTGGGAGGACAGAGTTTTGGACCAGTTTATTATTTACATATTTAATCAGTTCGGTCGCAAATCAGCGATGTACTTTTGATCGAGGTTTCTAGAAAGATAAATGCGTTTGAAAAATGTAAAATGGCATGCACTGGTGGGTCATAGTTGTGTTCAGCAAAATTGAAATGGAAATGTTATTTTATATTGTGCAGTGGAACAGATTTTGATATGGAATGGATTGTGGCATATAGTTGTCATTTTCATTCAGTATAAGCGAGAATTGAATGAAGAACTCATAGATGAAATGACATTCTATTTATTTGTGTTATCTGCTGATCTGCATTATAAAGTGTGTATGTGGAATGATTGAATACAACAGAATGAATGTGCCATGAGGTATTTTGCAATCATCACCTGAACTGTTTTGATTTCTTTGTATCATTCTAGATTTTCCAGGAGCCTAAAAAAGCCAGCCAAGTAGATCAAGTGCTTTCTGAATATTCCCGCTGTATCCAGGTGTGTATACTAATACAATAAATGGGAGAGTTACTATAACAAATTTTAAGACATTTCAATACAAGAAGACAATATTAAAAAATGCAAATTTTGAATTTTTGGTATTCGATTGAGTTGTTTGTATAAGTTTTGTAATGGTTGGGTAAGAACTTGCCGAATTTTAATAAGTTTCGGTTTGAGCTCAGCTTTTCATAGGAACGTGGAACACAACAGGCAATGTTTATTTTAGCCTGTAACAGGGGCTCATAATCAAATGACAGTTTTGGGGATGATGGTCCTGGTATTAACCTCCAAGACAAGTTAGAGGAGTATTTGTGATTTTTGTTTTTTAACATGTACAAGATTGATTCTGTGAAAATTGTAGCAGTTTGTGTGAGTAATTCAATTTAAAACATTTAAAAAAATGTTGTTTTCCTCAGCCAATGAACCAAGTGAGCATCAGAAACTTATCCTTTTGAGGATGCGGGAATGTGATAAGTGATATGACTGTTCAACACTTCCTTGTCAATGCACTTCTCCTGAAGCTCAATTACCTGATAATTTTGTACTGAATATTGTTCAATGAATTTGCCATGGATTACAAAAACATTTTGAGCGGATGGAGAGGAAGGGAAAGTTTGAAATGATAAACGTTCAAAACATACTTGATGAGTTTTCTTTGGTGACTTTCAGCAATCTAAACTGTCAGCTGGAGACATCACAGGGGCTCTGCTCTTCTCTGTGGTCGGAGGAAAGATGAGTGAGGGCATTAATTTCTCGGATGACCTCGGCAGGTGAGTGATCTATTGGTATGAAATAATCTTGGTATTGTAATTGCTTTTTCAGTTTGGGGTTTATGTTCCTGCTCTCTAATGGAATTGGAACTGAAGTAGTCCTACATGAACTTTCTGGGTTCCTCAGACCTCCTTTTTTTAAATTCAGATATCACAAGAGGTTTGGTTGAAGACCTTTTGGCCCATTTGATCTCTATCAAGCAGGTTTCCCACCCAACCATCATCAACATTGAGGGCCTTGTTAAACGTGTTCATCGCTTTATCTCCAACCATGTTGCCTGGAAATTCACTGCAGCTGTTGGTTGTTTTCTGTGTTACAATATTTTTGGTGTCTGATCTATAATTTCTCTTCACACAACTGAACCTGTGCTCTTTTGTCTTGGTGCCTTGGTTTATCTGCAAGAATTGCTCTGGGTTTACTTTCTCTGTTCCCTTTAGTCGGCCTGGCTAACAAACCCTCTGGTAAAAATAATAGTCATTCACTTCATAATTGTTAGTGAGACATTGCTGTGCACAAATTGGCTGGTGTGTTCACTGACGAATATATGACCACTCCACTTTGCAGAAAACTCTAAAGTGCTTTGAGATATTTTGCTGTGATAAGGTGCAACATGAAATGCAAAAATTATTTAAATAAATTAACTTATAAATCAGTAAAAGGCAACACTCATTGATTTTGAAAGTTCTGCAATCTGATACGAATACATTTTTATCAATTAAAATTGATATGAAGAGGGAGGGCGACTTGAGAAAAGAGTGAATTAAAACATAGCATTAGGAATGGCATGTAGTGGGGTCTAAAGTGAGCAAGAAGGAAGTGCCTGAATTTTTTCTCTTGTACTGACGGTGATTTTCCAGTGGGTGTCTTTGAGATACAAGAGGACGGCCAGATATTTGACTAACAGCTTGCAAGACCAATGGGTTCTGATAAAGACAATAGCTTGGTTTTGATTTAGAGGATGAGGAGCAGTTGTGCAAAATATTCTCAGCATCAAAGAGAAGGATTATTATTGTGAAAGCAAAGGTGGATTTTGAAAATGTTCTTTTTTTAAGTGGGAGACCATCAAAAGCAATTACTGAATTAGTTTTGGGTTGTAAACCCCTAAATGGTATATTATTGTAAGATTTCTTTAACTGTGGATATTAAGGAATTTAATGGCTTCTAAATGTTGTTGTGTGGTGATGTGCAATGATACATTCTCTTTAGAGGGATGGTGGGCTTTATTTTTCAACTTTTTTAAAGAAAAGCTATAATCCTAGGAATGCAAAGAAAGGTGTTCAGATTGTCAAACAGTTCACCTTAATTTGTGATTTTTTTTCTTGTTTCAGATGTGTAGTAATGGTTGGAATGCCGTTTCCTAATATCAACTCACCAGAACTGAAAGAGAGGATGGCTTACGTGGATAAAACCATGGTTGGTTGGAATTTTGTGTTCACGATTATCTGTGTATATTTTGTGTATATTTATACAATTGTAAGCTGACTTAATGCAGTGCTTCCGCCTTGGCAGGTAGATTTTATTTTCACCTCGTACAATACTGTGGAGTCAGTGGTTGGGATCTTTAAAATCCAATCAGTTTCACCTCGCGTTTACGCAACTGGCCAGCACATTCTCAGGCCGTCGACCGACATGTGTGTTGGGGGTTCCCGTGTTTGGGGAAAAAAACCTGATGTCTGGTTCACTTGTGTTTGTGGTCCATGGGCAAAACAGAAAGTATTGCGATCAGAGGCCTGATGACCTGGAGGTCAGCCATTTTATGTTAGCATCGGAAAGCTAAAATGGCCAACTTCTAGCTCAACAGATCTTTGCTTTGTCACTACCTGTTGTAAGGTAGGAATTGTAAAAAGAATTTTATCCAGTAGTTCAGTTGTAATTGGTTTATGTAGAAGAGTGACCCTGGTTTTAATTTGGAAATGAAATCATGGATGGAGTTACAAACACCAGCACAGAAAATTAAATGAGTCAGAAAAAGTAGTTTGAGTTAAGTTAAAATTGGTAAATACGAAGAACATGGTGCATATTAAGCTATAGCATATCTATACCTCACAATTTATTTTGCATTGGATTTTTGAAGGCATGACAATCTTTGCCAGATGCCGCTCACCTTCCTAGACCATTTTACCCATGTTGCACAGTTTATCAACTTCAAAAGGGTGAGGGCTGTGAATGAACCCATAACCCTGTGGTCTGAGACTTAATTGACCTGTGATTGGGTTATAAATCGTAAGAGGAAGGCAAAGAGTTGTGTAACAATGTGTTGGAGTACCAAACAGTGCAATGAGTTTTGATTAAGATACCGTGAGGATATTTACAGGTGGAAGAGTGTATAGGACAGCAAATTTTTAATTTGTGTGGAAAATTAGAGCAAACAATTGTATTTTAACAACAAATAAATAAAGAAATGCAGGATAGGATATCTTGCAGGGAGGATGGAAATCAGAGGTGAGAAAAAGAATGTTTATCACACAACAACATTTTCTTCTATCTGGTAATATAAGTGCAAGAAGCTCCTCAGAGTTGGGAATAGTATTGAAGTCTTCAGTAGTTTATAAACTTGATACAGTGTCTTGTAAATATTTTAGTTTGATGGTGGATTAGCCACGTTTGTGAAACATTGTGGTTTTTTAAAAAATAATTGTTTACAAAAGTTTGTACTTGTTTACAAGTTTGTGAAACATTGCGGTTTTTAAAAAATAATAAAGCTAAACTTTGTTAGGTATTATTGTGCCAAATTGTTGTGTTCAAAATCTAATAGAATTACTGTGGTTGTAATATCTAATATCTTCCCCTAGACACAAAAAAAGCAGTCACTCCACTTAACAGTAAATCCTGCAAAGCACTTTGAGATATTCTCCTGATGTAAAAGGAACTGTATCAAATGTAAGGAGTATTATTATTAGGGAATTCCTCTTTTTGTATGTTTTAAACTGTACAGATGAAAACAGAAGGAAGGAGTCCAGGAAAGATTCTGGTGGAAAATTTGTGCATGAAAGCTGTCAACCAATCTATAGGTACGTACCATTATTTTCAGGATATTTATACTTTAGGTCTCAGCCTCATCTAGTGACTTGCTTGGAGTTTCTCCTGGTACCCTGGCTAACAGGTAAAATTAATGACTGCTTGTGAAACATTGCGGTATTTAAATTAACTAACATGTTTATCTACAAATTCATTAAAATTACAGAAACGTTGTGAAGCAATCAAATTAAAAACCATGTGATGTTTCAAAAGAATCTGGACTGTCACTAATTGGATATGCATTTTTTTAAAAATAGTGTGGATAGGAGTTTAAAAAACTAGGGAAATTTATATCTATTTTGCTGCTTGTTATCCATTATTGCATTGGCAGGCAGTTCAAGATATTCTTTTACCTAAAAGCAAGCCACTCTGCAAATGAAAATTGTTCAGTTCTGTATATAAATTTATAGTATGGTTATACATCTTGAGAATAAAGAGATTTTGACTGAATGATTTTTCAAAGGGGAGTTTGTTGTACTGAACATTGTGTTAATGTGTGATCTAAGTATAATGAAGAATTACCATTGTTTCTCTTTCTGTTCTAGGACGGGTAATTCGCCATCGTGAAGATTATGCGAGTATTGTGCTTTTGGATCACCGCTATTCCAGGCCCTCTATTCTGAGCAAGCTGCCTGCATGGATTAGGGGGAGAACAGAGAGTAAAGCTTCATTTGGTTCGGCCTTTGGAGCTGTTTCCAAGGTAAGGGAAGTCGAATGATTATTTGGAAGGAAATTGTTCAATGGAGCAAGTAGCCTCTGTGATGGTACAAATTTAGAATTCAGTTGGTAAAGCACTAAAAGATTAATTTAATCTATCCTTCAAATAATGTGTATTTTATTGCTTGTTGTGGGGCGAGTGATACGTTTTGATTTTTGAAGATCTTTAGGGGTGACATTTATGTCAAAATTTGATATGATTGTGTTTATGATGCAGTCATACTAATTTTTAATTGGCTGACAGACTTGCCTTTGGAGTTAACTGTAAGCGAATCAAAACCCCATTGTTTAATACCCTATTTATAGTGCACACTTAAAGGAGGTTGGATGATGATTTTATATCGAATCAATATGAATGTATAGTCTGAATCTTGTTTTGGGATCATCGATTTGATTCTGAGCCCTGCTGTTAAATCAAGTCCTTATTTGACATAATGCTGCAGCTAAATCCAGTTTGCACTTCAGCTGATCTTCATGCAGCAGTTGGATGTGCTAATTGGCTACAGCGTCCAGTAAATCCAATTGAAGGGAAAATGGGTGCAGACTCTCACTCCTGATTATCATCTTGAAGTTGGTGAAAACAGGAGAAAAGTTTCATTTAAGACTCAACATTTTACTGAAATAATTTTACTGATTTATTTTCTGAATGTACATTTTTCATTATGAATAATGAAAACTTTAATTTTAGTTTTTCAGAGAGATGAAATCATGTGAAAAGAGTACTGTAGATGGGTAGAAGACCTATGAGTGGACAAAGTGGAACAGAAGAATGGAAAAAAATGAAGTAATGATTTTATTGGAAGATGCATGATGTAATAAAGATTATGAAAGTCTGTTGTTTTATTTATTGACCTTCCATTCTTTCTTTTCACTTGCATCTTCCATGCTGTTCACTTGCTCTTCCTGCTTGCTTTCATTCCTGTGCTCGCCTCCCAATTGCTCACTCTTTGCAGGTAATTCCCTTGCTCATTTCCTCACTCTTGCTCTCTGCAGAATTCAAGTCTGTAATGTGTTAAGGATCGTTGATGTAATAGGTGAGGCTACTTAAGGCTGAAGGATATTGGCTTTTAATATCACGTTACTGAATCTTGCTAGCATCCAATAATTGATTGTGCACAATTTACATTGATATATCTATTACTTAAATAATAACTATGATTATAAGTAGATCATTATATTAAAGACTGGATCAGGATAACAATACGATCACTCAAGCACAAAAGCCATTTCTGATTATTTTCTGTGGAAAGTAATAATTTTAGGAGTGCTTTTGGTTACTAACTTTGATAGAGGTAATTTTGCTTTGTCAGAACATCGGAAATGTGCATTTGGAGACAAACCTGGCAGAGTAGTATTTAATCTGACTTTGTATTTTGTGAAATTTATGATGTTTAGTCTGATACCACATGTTTCTGTACTGTAATTTTGCTTGTAATCTTAAGGTAATTACAATATGAACTGATTTGATAGCCACGTATATTGAAAATCTTGCTCATGATGATTTCATAACTTTGTCTTAGCATTTGTCTTGTCCATGATAATATTTTAGTAAAATCTATAGTGTGAGCATTTGAATTCAGTCAGATGAAATTCATTAATATGTATTCAGTTCCAAATTTAGGATTTCTAAATCTGACAGTTTTTTTTAAAATGCCGAATTTCTAAATCAACTGAAATAGTTGAATTGGTAAAATCTGTGCAGGTGCAAATGAAGCCAGTTTGCATTTAGAAAGCATTTGATGGCTGATCACAGATTCAGTCAGTTATATTTTCATGTGATGTGTTTTTTGATAGGTATGGTATGTTACTTAAGACTTAATAGGGTCCATAATATAGCCAGAAAATGTCTTCTATGTTAAGATTCTATTGCACAGTGTGATGCTACTGTACTTGTTTTTGGGTGAAATCAGAAACAAGCATGTTATTGCTTCACTGAAACATGTTGGTAGAAAGTTGCTAAACAGTGTGGTAAAGAAAAAAATGTAATGATGTGACAACTTAATTTAGTACAATTTGTCTATGACTGCAACAGCTTGTTTTAAAATCGTTGCATTTTGTAATACATATTTCAATGTTGTGCAATCATGCCCATTTTTCTGGGAAATTCACATTACTCTGCTAGTGGTGCAGCCTGGCATTCTCTAGCTACTCTGCTACATCGACTTGAAAAACAAATGAATAAGACAGAAGCAAATAATTAATATTTGCTTTGCTTAAAATCTGACTGGTAGATAGATGATCAGGCGACATAAGTTGTATTGATAGTTCTTAAATTTTGCAGTGGCTATATTGCACTCAATTTATCGGTCTCTTGACTCCAGATTTTCTTTTGCATACATTGAGTGTAAGGCGACACCAATTGAATACTGTGAAATAAAGTCAAGAAATGGTTTAACTGTGGAATAATGGATGCCCAGGTAAATTACAGATGTGACTGATCCTATGTTTTTATTTGAGCAAATACTTGTCCAAATTGTAAGAGAGACCTGCAAGCCTTGAACATCCATTATGTTGAACTGGGATTGTTTTCTCTCTCTCTTCTCCCTCCCCCTTGCCTTAATTTGTGATGTTATGTTTTTTTCTTTGGGGAGTAACAACAGCAAGTTGAGGCACTGGTTCAATTTGAATAAAATATGTTATGTCAGAAGTGCACCATCACAATACATGCTAGAGATGAGATGGAAAATAAAAAAAATTACTGGGCCATAGAGCAGGAGCAATCAGATTCTGTAGCTATTGATGAAATCACTTTCTTTTAGAGGTGTTTCTCCTTTGATTCTTTCACTGGAGCCTTAAAATACTTGGCATGACGATAATTCACCTGAAACTTCACCTCAATGCCTGCTTTCCTCCTGCATGCTGTGCCACGAGTCCCTCTGCAAAATAAGCTTTTCTGATTTTCTTTTTACAGCGGAGTTTATTACTCTTGTTTAATACAGCTCTATTAGGTGTCGTCCACATCATCCCTTTGTTCTAAAAACAAAATACTTTAATTTTAATACAGACCGGAAGGTTTAGGTTGAATTCTTACTATGTGCTGAATTATTTGATCTCAGAAGGGATGCAGTTTGTATCCCATTCCTTATCGCTGTCTCTTGACTACTGCTGGAAGTTGCATACGCTCGTCCCGTGTGTGTGTGTGTCTGTATTGTCAGAATGAAAATGGGTTTGGACTTGACTGTGTAATGATCCACATGGTTGAATAGCCATGAGCACTCACTGCACAGGCTGACATGAATGACATCCAATTGGGAGAGATACCAGAGGATGCCCATGGAATTGAACCTCAGTAGAAAGAGAAAAGGTTAATTGCTTTCGGGAGATGAGAACATCTCTGAAATGTTTGTAGTTACTTGATATTGTCGATCTTTGTGGTTAGTTTAGAATTATATTGCTTGATGTTAGTGCTCAGTAGTGGAAATTTATATTTTAATTCCTTTGAATGTTATGGCAGATGGTGTCAATGTTCCGAGATGTTTCCAGAACATTTTAATGATTTTGCATCAGTTGATGTAACTGTTTACATCTTTATCAAAAGGCTTTAAAATTATGCAAAGTCCTCCAGGGCATTCACTGCCATGGATGGTTTTGATAAGTGCCTGTGCTTTGCATCTGCAAAGCATCATTTTGAAGGTTGTGAACTCTGCTTAGAATTCTCAGCTTTCATTGCTTAACAAAACTCAATATTAAATTCAAAGAACCAAAAGGAGTCTCAGAGCAGTTAAAAATGACGCATGTTTTCAGCTGATCGCCTGAACTGCATTTTTCCATACTCTATCCAGGAAAAGAAGAGGTTTGGCCTCTTCTTGAGCTTTGTAAATAATTTTACAACTTGTATAGTGATCTTGGTTTCTAATATAGATTTTCTTTGATTGCCCTGTTTGTAGGATTCTCCTACTCTGGCAGGTAACTGACAAATACAAAAGTACCAGAGAAAGAAGAGAATCGGAGGAGTTGCTATAGTTGTATTGATGTATTCAGTGCCCCTCAACTTGAATGCATCAGCTTCAGAGATCTCTTCACTAAATTTGCAGCCATTACTGTAAAAAGACCACATTTTATTCATTGTTGGATTGGTAAACCCAACCTCTCTGTTCTTTTTTCATTGGCGTTCAACTGATCAGCAAAAAAAATCACTTTGTTCCTGCCACGACAGACTATAATTTGATCCATGAGCCAATGTTGAGCTGCACTTCATCCATCTATAAGCAAACTAGCGTTTTGTTTCTAGGTGCTCTTTAGGCATGCCATGCCACTATGCCCTGAAACTCTGGAACACTCTTCCTCTATCCCTCTGCCTTGTCCCTTCCTTCCCCATCTTCAGATTGTGCCTGAAGACCTTCCTCTTTGACCATGGCTATGGTCACCTCCCCTCAGCGTGAAGTTGTGCACCGTCGCTGTCAAGCGCTGTGGGATGCTACCCTGCATGAGGGACGTTGTTGTTGGCAAGGTCTTGGTCAAGGAATCCTACTTTGTACTGCCTGATGATAAATCTAAGTGTTTGGTTTCACTGATCGGCACATTTCCTTGCGAGGATCAGCACAGATCTGGATCGTTTCCCATCAAACGGCTCACAACACAGGCAGTAAACAGTAAAGCAAATTACGAACTGATATGTGAATATAATTGGAATTATTTTGTTTGGAGGAGTATGCAGATTACGGTTACAATTGTTAGACTGGGCTATTCGTGTAACAGTAAACTAATATATTGATTTAAGCGAGAAAGCAGCAATATTAATTTTAACACACCTGCTTACTGTGGCAAAGAGAGAGTTCATAAGAAACAGATTTGCATACCTTTCAAAATATATGCAGCAAGTTGCAAGGTTGATGTGAGGACCAAATGGAGACTTGTTTGGAAAAAGTGGGTCTCTGGTGTGTGTATATTTCTGAGAAATAAGTAAGCTCAATGCTAACATGTTTTGCAGTTCAATAGTTTCTTCAGAGATTTAATTGGGACTTTAACAAGGTTACTGAACAGTTCAAATATTGTTTAATTGATTTTAAGAGTTGGACAATAAATGCAGAGATTTTGTTTATCGAACTGTGCAGTTTTCTCTTTTCAAAATCCTTTAACTTCTGAACATAGGAAATATGTTTAGTTAACATAATTCATTTAATTTCTGATGAATGGCACTTTGTATTATTACAATCAGGTTCAATTCTCGATATTAAAAACAACTTCAGCACAGAGACAATTCTACAATTTTTGAATGTCCAATGTAATTTCAATTGATGGCCACATAATTACTCTTTCCTATGATTTTTTTTAAAAAAGACTTAAAATTGTATTTGAGTTATTTATGGTTAAGTCAGTCTCTGTATCCATCCTTTACTTGAAAACAAACCCTATCTGCTGCAATCATTCTAGCCATTTGATCTCCAAACAAAAGAGTGGGTATTCCAGACACATTCAACAAAACTGATTACATTTGATTGTTACTTCATTCTCATCAGACACATGGTAAGCATTACTGTTCATCAACAATGCAACAACAACAAATTACATTTGTATAGCGCCTATCACTTCAGGAGAACATCCCAAGGTACTGGACAGTCGGAGTTCCGCACCCGAGCTGGTGGTTGGGATCAGGAGGGGTCGAGGGTGACTGAAGGCACGGTCGAAGAGGAGAGTCTTGAAGGGGAAGCACTGGGGTGGGCAAGGTGGAGGATGTAAAGCAGGCTGAGTGGAGGGAGCGGACAGATTGGTGAGAGTTAATGGATTACAGAGATAGGGAGGAGCGAGGCCGTGGAGGACTTTGAAGGTGAGGACCAGAATCTTGAACTATATTGTCTGAGTGAGCCAGTGGAGCTGGGCGAGGATGGGGGTGCCCGGTGCGGGAGAGGACACAGGCTGCAGACGGCATTTATATTCTCACAGCCTCCATCTTTCTTCAACACACTCGATTACATTTTCTTTTGGTTATACACCTGACAGACCAAACGGAAAAGCTGTGTCATCAATGTCCAAAAATGACAATTAGATGAGAAGTCAATTTATTTGGATTAGGAGGTAATATTAGCTAGGAGAAGGTTCCTATGAATGTTTGAAATATGTCCACCTGAATCACAAGACAGAACCAAAAAATTATAATAATCATGTGGAATGTGATCATTCGGTAATAAAATGTATAATACAAGACAAATGCAGCGGGTTAATCTTTCACCAATGTTCCAGCAATGAGCGCAATACCAGTTGATGAAGAAGATTATGAAATGAAGAGAGAGAAAAGAACAGAGTTACAATAATAATAGGGGAAGAATAAAATGCAGGACCAAGAGGTGGGCAGTTTGGGTGTGGGGCATCAAACAAACATGTATTAGAGACTTGGATCAGGAACATTCAATCATTTTCTTTCTGGTTCTGGCTGGCAACAGAGGTTGTCACTTGGGTTGGTTTAATGTATATTTTGCTTTATTAAATCTAACTTTAAGTGAAGTGAATCTTATCAATTAGGCAAGCGCAACAACTAAGCTGTGTCTGTTCTCCTTGGAAGACAAACTGGGTCTCTGCAGGCAGATTCACTGCACTCGTGATAACGGACTAGCTAGTCTGACTTGTAGGAGCAGATCAATGTAGCCTTCGATGTCCTCCTGCAGGGTGAAGCTGTGATGTTTCGGATGGGAGGGATATCATCTGCTCAATGTGGGACCTTGCAGAAAAGGTTTGAGATAAGGATTTTATTTTATTATTGTGGAGTCCTGTAGCATATTTGCTCAGTCCATGATTGTTTGTGGGATGCTGCTGTGTCTGCCACATTTTGCCCACAACATTTTTTTTTGGTCAGCCGGGTGTCTGACACATGCGGAAATCCATCACCATGCCATGATATCAATGGCAAGCTATGCAGTTTTAGCTGGTTAGACTCCAAGGTCCACAAGTCTTGGCTCTTGCCAACCTATGCCTAATACTTTCCGGATTTGAGTAAGCAGCATGTGTCCCTCCAGGGAGAGAGAGCGCATTCCATTCCAGCAATCTATCTCTGGAATTTCCATATGTGGGTGGGATGCATGGAATTCTCAGTTTGGTTTGGATACTCTTAAGCATGGTGATGGGTTTCCACATGTGTCAGACACCTGGCTGACCAACCCAACTCCCCAGTATTTAAAGCTTCAGAAAATGCAGGTTTCGAAGAGCAACCAGATTGCTGCCCTCCACTACAGGGAGCAGAGCGGGTCCCCCAGATATGGCGGGCAGCAGCCCTGGGTGGGGAGTGGCTCGGCGTGGAGCCCTGGGTGGGTCTCTGACACAAGTGGATCCCTGGATAGAGAGCTTGGCCGGGTGTGGAGCCCTGGGCGTCTACCTCATGGGTAGAGCTGGCTCTGACCGGCTCTAATTAGTGACAAGTTTCTACAACCGAGGAGCACAGCTGAGATGCATTCTGACCAGGCTCGAGC